GCAATTGTGTAATTTTTTTTAGGTGAGGGACCAATCCTCTCTGTTTACAGTCTTCAAGCATCTACTAAAAAATGTGCATCTTTAAATGTTCTCCATAACTACCGTATCCATGGGATACGAACTGGTAGAAAACATCAGTCTGGAGAGAGTCAGTTCAACAGTGTAATTTCACCTGAAATTTCTGTTTGGGACAATGACGAGGAGGAGATAATTGTTTTTGGAGGAAAAGGAGTTCGGCTTGTCAGCTTCAATTCTGCAGGACAATGTCTGAAGCTGATTGGTCCACTCTTGGAGCTTCAAGACTGGGTGCTGGACATTCATTGGCTAAAAGCACAACCCCACACATTGTTAGGCATAGCCTTGGCCCACAATGCCCTGCTGCTCCTAGAAGCAGAATCAGGTAATATTCTCTCCTTCTACTCTTGTGAAGAGTCCTGTCTTCTCTACTCGGCACTTATGATTGGTCCAAATTGGCACTCTTTAGTGCTGGTGGGTGGGACTGTTTTCAACCAGCTCGTGCTGTGGAGGCCCACAGGGACCAAACCCAGTGGCCAATCCCAGGTGGAGAGACGTCTACTGGGCCACAGTGGAGTCATTTTCAGTCTTTGCTACCATCTGAAATCTGGGTGGCTGGCGTCTGCCTCGGATGACCGCAGCGTTCGTTTGTGGAGCGTGGGCACATTGGGTGGAGATGCAGGTTGTGGAGAGGAAACACCAACATGTCTTCGGGTGCTTTACGGACACCAGGCACGGGTCTTCTGTGTCAAGCTTACACCCAGCCGTGTATTCAGTGCAGGAGAAGATGGAGCGTGCCTGCTCTGGGAATGGGGAGGGGAGGGGAAGGTGGGATGTACGTTTAAAGGACATAGGTCTGGTGGAGTGAAGGCTCTGGCTGTCAGCGGGGGAAGTATAGGCTGTAGGGAGGGATGGATGGCTACTGGAGGTGCAGATGGTGGGGTAAGAGTGTGGAGAGTGGCAGAGGAGAAGAAAGATAGCAAGGAAACTCAGGCAGAGACACAGCTGGATCTGGAATTTAAAGGGCAAGGTTGTCCAAAAGTGGTCCGATTAGTGGGTGAGGACGAATCGAATATGGTTCTGGTCTGTACTGATCAAGGAGAGGTGTGCCTTAGTCAAGGTGACACCTGGGATGTCATCTGGCAAGGAGGAGCAGAATTCCAGTCATATTGTGTGATGGAGATCACAAGCATCCAAGTCCAGAATTCAAATTGCACTGTGTGGGTGTGTGCAGTGGGTAATCTGAACGGAGGTGTCCAAGTGTTCCTTATAGGGCAGCCAGGCGTGGGAGTCTTGCTAAAAGCTGGACAGGGTAAAGTTCACTCTGTACTTTGGGTCAAGGGACTGTCTGTAGGGTCCTGGAGTTGGTGTCTTCTGGCTTCAGGCTCTGAGGGATTGGTGTACCGGTGGACAATAAAGGTGATGGAGGATGAATCAGGCCTGCATATGAAAGAGGAAACTCTTCTTCCATTCCTGCTGCCACCCTGTGCCAAACGCTGGCTGACTGCTGCAGTTACCTTGCCACAAAGAAAAGGGTTATACCTGTGTGGTGACCGGAGAGGGTCACTACTGCTCTATGCCGAACGAGAAAAGAATGACACAAGAAATGGAGGAGAAAGAAGAATGGACTTACAAGATCAAGAAACCGAAAACCGGCAAACGCAAATTGGCGGTCCTATATCTCCCATCAGTACCCTTTACGGAGTCCATGGGAAGCAAGGTGTGACTTCCGTGTGTGAGCATCAAGACTTATGTTACAGTACAGGTCGAGATGGATCTGTAAGAATACTAACTGTTGAAGAAAACGTCCTGAAGGTGCGTAGAGTTCAGCGGGCCTGCAGAGGCATGGAGTGGCTGGAGAAGGTTCTGTTTCTGGGCTTGGATGCACCAGAGGTACAAGGAAAGATGCTGAATGAGAGAATTGAGAAGAGGAAGATCGATCAAGAGAGTGAAAGTGTAGCTGAGGCTCGGTTTGTAATGGTTGGCTTCCACTCTGTCCACTTCATTATATGGGACCCTCACCGACAAGAGAAGCTATTATCAGTTGCCTGTGGAGGAGGCCATCGATCCTGGGCCTACAAATGCCCGATACACACCCACACGGATCCTCATGCACATGCAATCGGACATGGTACCCTTGTGTTCATCAAACACGGAGCTGTCATGGCATCACGTTCATTAGCGTCCACAGAAACTGATGTGAATGGACACACCCTGAAAGAGGGGCTACATGGGCGAGGCATCAGCTGTGTGTGTCATCTTGGTAGTCTCACAAAGACTAGAGAGTTGTCAGAACTTTGGGAGATTTTTGTTACCGGAGGGGAGGATACCTCAGTGGGTGTACTTGCCGTCAATCCACAGAGTGGAACTGTTAAAGTGCTTGCGGTTCTAACAGACCATATCTCAAATGTTCGTGCTCTGGCTGCCATCAGAAAAGAAGAAACTAATGAAAGAGGGAGAGGTGATCGGACAGATACCTCCTTGTCTTCTTTGGTGTTCTCAGCGGGTGGCCGGGCTCAGCTGCAGTGTTACCGGCTTTTGATTAGTTTGGATGAGCAGCAGGGTCAGCCGATCTGTCAGGTCACTCAGATAGCTGGCCATCGATTGGATGAGCAGTGGGAACGGAAGCGGAATCGACACAAGACCATCAAAATGGACCCAGAGACGAGGTACGTATGTGTTTCTCAAAATACTCATTATTTGTGTTGTCTTAAAGGGATATTTCATTCTAAAATTAAAATTCGGTCATCATTTACTCACCTTCATGTTGTTTCAAACATGTATGAATTTTTTTTGGGGGGGGGTCCATTGTTGTTTGGTAGTAGTTGTTTTGAAAATGTATGACCATCAGAGAGCGGACAATACAATGTACTCCCTCCAATTTACTTTGCAAATGCTTTCTCGTGTTTGCAGGTACATGTCTATGTCTGTGGTGCGTAATGGGACTGAATATGTTCTGGCTCTGGGCTGTAGTGATGGTGCAGTAAGGTAACTTGGTTTGAGATTAAAAACATATTAATTAAAATTAGTTTCAAAATGTTTCATGTTTTAACATTCTGTGATTAATGCATTGAGTGTGTGTTTTCTCTTTTAGGCTGTTCAGTGTGACTGAGAGCAATAGGAGTGTTGACATGCTTTGGGAGTGCTTTTACCATCAGAGGTGTGTGCTCAGTGTCGCCACCTACAAGCTGGAGGACTCCCAGGGCAGAAAGTAAGGAAATGCTGTACACTTATCAAAAACATATTTATTCCATGTTTACATTATTTCTTACACTTATTTGCATTTGTCCATCTCTTTCGGTCTCAGGCTTTTGTTGCTGTTCAGTGCCACTACAGATGGTTGTATATCTGTGTGGGATTTAACAGCAGTTTTGAACAGTAAGGCTGGTGTCAGCTGGCAGGGTGAGTCATACATACACCAGAACATAAACACTTGTTTTTTTGTTTTTGTTTATTATTTTTAATGTCTGTATAACTGTGTTCTTTGTTTTGTTTTGTGTTCTTTGTTTTTGCTGTGGTTAAGAAGAACTTAAAAGTATGTTATTTGATTGCATTTGTTATGTATGTTAAAGGTATAGTTTACTCTAAAATTAAAAACTTTATTTATTTTTCTTTACTCATTATTATTATTAGACTTTCCATGCAACTGTTTTACATATCATAGTGACCACAGCTATTAGGCTCCAAAAATTACAGTGCATTTGCTCTGATTCAAAGATGGAGTATGTGTATTCTTATAAATAAAATAATAATTTTTATCAATTACAAACCCAAGAGCATTACAAAATGTTATGCATAAAAAAACTGTGAAGCTGTCCCAAAACCCCACAGTGTCGGGTGCCACGAGGCACGAGTCTGGTAATAGAACTTTAAAATATGTGTTTGTCAATAATGATTTACCCTTTCTTTGCTTCAGGCCCATCAGCCCCTTTCTTTTCTATACCTGTCCATCAAAGTGGAGTCAATACACTTGCCTTATCACCGCAGAGAGCGATGGGGCAAATGGAGGAAAACATGATCTCATTGGCCAGTGGTGGAGATGATGGACAGCTGTCTCTACTGAGTATCAAGATTGATCAGAAAGAGCAGGAGAATGGAGGCATGTCTCTACAGCTTCTTTCTCATAGGTCAGTGCCCCTGGCACACTCTTCCCCTCTCACTGGGCTATGTTTACTAAGCCCCACCCTATTGGTGTCCACCTCACCAGACCAACGCTTGTGTTTGTGGAGTGTGAACAGCGATGGCCTCCGCCCACTGAAGGTGCTGTTCTCACACACCGCAGATGCTGCTGGATTGTGGGCGTGGTTTGGTGTGGGACAAGAGGGAGGTGCCTGGGTGATTGTTTGTGGCCAGGGCTTACAATTGTTTCAATTAACGGAAAGAGAGATGGATGAACCAAATGAAACTGTTAACAGGAGTGCAAAAGAAGAGGAAAGAAAGAAAGTGATATTTTCACATCGTGTTTCAAGGACATAACACAGACTATCAGCACTCTTTTTAATGATTTATAAATGGAGATACCAAAGAATTGTAATAAATTCAAATAAAGATCTTTTCAATATGTCATATTTTTACTGTGCCAGGGAAAGTATCTTGTGAAGAAATTTTTTTTTCAATATGGCCTAACAATGAATGTCTATACAGCTGTACAGAACCAGTCAAATTTTGGACATGCGATTTACTGAATTTGTTTCTCATCATCCTACAGACATTTTGATATAAAGCCAGTGTTGTTAACTAACGTAAAACTATTAAAAAACATTTTCGGTAATTGAAATAGATCTGAAATAAAATACACTAGTCAAAATTTGAAGTGGATCAAAAAGTTTATCAAAGTTGTCCAAGACAAGAACGGGTATTGTTCAAAATGCATGTATAACTTTGATGAAAGGTTTTGATCCACTTCAAATGTTGACTACAGTATAAATATTTAATGAAAAGCTTACACTGATTGTTGAAGTACTAAAATTATTAAAAATAATAATAAAAATGGCAAAAGTACACACGATTACTAAAACTAAATTTAAAAGTGAAAATAGCAAAATGAAAGCCAATTAAAAACATTAATAAATACTATAATAGTATATGCTTACTAAAATAAGAGAGGCTTGAAATGCTTGTAATCATATAAATTATATATCAAAAATAAATGACAAATAAAATTGTAATTAATGAAATGGATGAACTGGGCCGAGCATACGTGTGAACACCTTCAATTCTGTTTAAAAAGAACCTAAAGATGATTGATAGATCGTTTTAATTTGGTTTGTACACATTTTGTGTTCTGGTTTTGGTGACTATTATTCTAAAATGCAAAATATAGAATTGAATATGGAAAGAATGAGTTGGTGTGTCCAAACTTTTAAATGGTACCGAATATGTTACGACTGTGTACGTGTGCATGTGTGTGAGTGGCTTATGGCTTGAAGATATATTCATGCATGCGTGTGTAATGGATCAATGCTTTCCTGGGCTACAGGCCAGCAGGTGTGTGTGTGTGTGGGTGAGTGAGAGAGGGTACACAGTGTGTTGGGGGGCTTTGACTGTGCAACTAAGTATAAATATTTCACCCCCTTCTCCAGTTCCCTTTTGTTCATCATCGTAGCGGCTCGATGGCCAGTCCCTTTAATCCACAGCTGAACAAATGAAAGCAAGAGAGGAAAGGAAACACGTGAGAGAGTCAAAGATATAAAGCCACAAGGTTTGCAGAATTTGAAAGAAAGGAATGAGAATATTTTCTGATTACATGATGTAAAAAAGGAGTGACAAAATGTGAGAAGAAGACAAAAGTTGAAAGGATAATGTGAGTATAATAATGACTAATGTGAGTAAAATTCTGCAATAGCAACCAATGTTACTTTAGTATAATTGAGATACCATTTAAGTTTTTATTGATATTTTGAAGTAGTCTTTATTTTTTATTTCTTTGATTTTTATTTTAATCTTAGTTAGGGTGTTGGTCATTTTGTTGTGTGTTTTTGTAATTTATGTATGTTTTTATACATTTTTATTTTAGTTTGAGTTATTTTAGTACATCAACAATGAGAAACTAGCTGAAATAAAATGTCTTTATGCATGCTATTTTATTTCAGTTAATGTTTATTTTATTGTGAAGCTGATGTGTCTCTTTGTTTGAAGTGAGTCACAGTGTGTGTGTCTTGATCTTTTGAAAAAGGATGTCACGGTTCAGGGAAACCCTTAAAGAGGACGAATCTGGAAAGAAGAACTCTAAGATACCTCAAAAACGAAAGAAAAGGGAAGCTGAAAATGACACGGTATGGCTGTTCCACAAAAATTACTTGAAAATGGATTGAATATACAAGTGAATATACAGCACATTAACTCAAATAACATCACACTGATTAAACAGTCATGATCATGTGTGTGATATCACTAAACAGGACAATAGACTGATATCGAAGGATAGGCTTCCTCTGATTGGTTCATCAGGCAACAGAACTGCAGGTATAGTCAACACATCACCTATAGTTAAATTACTTTTATAGTCTGTATGGGATCAGTGCATTAATACAGTATATGGCAAGATGTTGTCAGATATGAACTGATTTGACTGGAAATCAAATGTTTTCATAACATTGCACGAGAAGTAATGCTAATCAGTCCTCATTTGTGAGAAATAGTCGCAATTCAGAAATATGTAGTCGCTATCACAAAAAAAAAAGTCACATTTTTTTTAAATTATAATGTGGAAATTCTGATTCTATTTCTTCATTTATTCTGCTTTTAGCAAGGCCTTCTCTATCCACTCCCCAGCATCCTCCTCAGGCCGACATGAGAAAACGTGGCCATCCTCCCATCTCATCTGTGGCCCCTGACAGCATGGCACCCTGGGAAGGCTCCTCCCACTCCGAGTCCTCCTTTACCAGTTTCCCCCCTCCGCTTTCACCCCTTCCACTTGCCCACTCGAAGCCAATCACAGCACCAGATCCTCCGCTACCCCCTCCACCCCCTTCTCAAATCAAAAACATTGAACCTGAGAATGGACAGAGTGCCAGAGTAAAACGCAAGCCCCTCCCACCAAGACACCCCTCTAGACCTCCCCGTTTACCCCCTCTGAGGCAAGTAACAAATCTTAGCTTTTCTCGAAGTTTCACTTTTTCGTTTTTTGAGCTGCCGGTTCACCAGTCTGCACGGAGCAGAGCGGAGCGGCTCAGAGATCTCACTGTGCTCCTGAGGCAGTTTCAATACTGAGTTTACATCTGGGGCAGAAAAACTATGTATGCAAATTTACATCATGCTCAATATTACCAGGCTATGGCATGACTTCACATCAGCATTATATGCTTAATTAGAATTTTAGATTAAGAGTGATGTTGGATATATTTTTGGCTTTTTATCCTGTTTGCGGTGCACATTTCTGCCATTACTGAAGGTTAAAGATGCACTTCGTAATTTTTATGATGCACTGTATATATGGTCACCAAGGTGCATTTTGTTTTTACAGTAAAACATGAATATTGTGAAATATTACTTAATACAGGTTATAATATTTTCTCTATTTTAACATATTTTCAAATGTAATTTATTCCTGTGATGCAAAGTTGAATAATCAGCATCATGACTCCAGTCTTCAGTGTCACGTGATCCTTCAGAAATCATTCTAATATGCTGATTTGGTGCTCAAGAAACATCTCTTATTTTAAATGTTTTTCTGCTTAATATTTTTTAAGAAACTGTTATAGTTTTTTTGCAGGATTCTTTGATGAATATAAAGTTCATCAAAGAAGAACAGCATTCATTTCAAATAGAAATCTTTTATAACACTGTTTTTTACTGTCACTTTTGATTAATTTATTCCACCCTTGCTGAATAAAATACCAGTTATCATATATATGTGTGTATATATATATATATATATACATTTATATATATATATATATACATATATATATACATTTTTAAAGTAATGATTTCTTAAAAAACACACACATATACATATATATATATACATACATACATATATATATATATATATATGTATATGTGTGTGTTTTTTAAGAAATCATTACTTTAAAAATGTATATGTCTGTATATATATACACTATATACATACAGTGACCAATGGAGTAATGGAAATTCCCCAGGATGTGTTTGTTGTTTTTGATACTTTTGTTAGGTTGTCAAATGTATATTTAGAGGATGTGTGGTTGTGAGTTTGTACAACCTTTTGCCTTCTAATGTTAAGTACTGTCGACATTTATATTAACCAATGAGACAGAGTTGGGGGAAATTACCATGATGATTATTATGTAGGGTGGAGACAGCATCTGTGATAAATTATATATGAGGTAACATTATAAATCGGACCTTTAAACAAAAGAAAACAATGAAAATATTTAAGGAGAGACATTGAGCTGAGATACGTCCCACAGGTGGCCTGAGGTATTGTTGAACTATTCGGGTCATGTGCACAGGGGTAATAAAGTGCTTTCCTCAGGACACACAGAACATAATTCAGGGAATTCTCTTGACAAGGTAAGAAAACTAATTGATAAGCTTATTTCCACTTTTATTGCACAATCAACTGTCCTCACGTGTGCTCCTATCAAAGAGTGCTGATAGTCGCAGATGAGCTTTGATGCGTTATCAGTTTTGGCTGCTGATATCTTTGCACACTATTAAAGGGATAGTTCACCCAAAAATGTAAATTCTGTCATCATTTACTCCACAATCAATTTGTTCCAAACCTGTATGAGTTTCTTTCTTTAACACGAAAGAAGATATTTTAAAGAATGTTTGTAACCAGACAGTTGACTTCTATAGTATTTTTTTTCCTACTATGGATGTCAATGGCTACCGTCAACTGTTTGATTGCCAACATTCTTTAAAATATCTTCTTTTGTGTTCAACAGAAAAAAGAAACTCGTACAGGTTTGGAACAACTTGATGGTGAGTAAATGATAGAATTTACATTTTTGGGTGAACCATCCCTTTAAGACTGCACCCTTTAGTTGGGACCAGATATTTTACATACTTTATTTAGTGTATTCCCACCAAATTTGTGTAACTGGTATACTTTTTAAACTGGAAATACTGTGTGTTAGAAAATGAATTTCCTTTACATATAAATATGGCTTCAGCAAATGGTACAACATTTATTCTGGTGTAACATCTGCTTGTGTTGAGTTCTGTCCATTTACTGATAAATATAAATAAAACATTGCATGTAGACTTGATGTATGTCTTCTGTAGCTTCAGTCTATATATATATATATATATATATATAGAGAGAGAGAGAGAGAGAGTCAAAGGTCAATTTTCTAATAAGCATTATTTGTTGAAGAGTGGCGTGTCTTCTTATTGGATAATATAGCCCTGCCTCCTACAAGGAAGTTGCATAATCATTATCTGGAGATCATTATTAAAGTACTACAGTAAAAATTGTAACAAGTCTGTTGAGTACAAACTGTCGCTCACGTGATGTGTAATATATGATCTCTGTTCTCAGGAGTGGTAGATTAAAATCTTTTAACCTTTGGTCAGACCGAAGCTGATCCAAAGATGAATGTCTGTGAACAATAAATAACACTTTGGAAGTCTGGAGGAGGAAAAGAGTGCAGAATCTGTCTCTCTCTCTCCAATTATAGACTTCCAGTTTAATTGGTTTAGATGTGTTTGCTTGTAAGAATGATAATAGACGGTTTGCTCTGAGTTCAAGGCCACGTCACAACAGCTTAGCACATGTGAAACATAATCATACACTCCGTTTTAGGATTGCCTGTTTTAGTTACTTTTTCTTGTGCTCACAGATGGACAATCAAAGACTTTCACAGAGTGAGAATTTCAATCCTAATCCTGTTTATGGTCTGAATGAAGCACAACTAGATATCCAGGGACAGCGCAGGTGGAAGGCGCATCGGACAATTTGGGGAAAGCTGAAGGAGGAGAGCCGGTGAGTGTGGGTGAGAAGAGTATAGGAGCTTATTTAAGAAGCATGCACACTTAAGATAATTGTGATCACAAAATAGGCACAGTGTCCATGAGAAATACACACACTGACCATTAATTTCTCTGTTGTTTTGCATCAGGTATTCAGGTCCAAGGCTGAAGAGCTGCTTCCTGTCTATCGCACCTCTCTTGTCATGGCTGCCACAATACTCGCTCAGGAAAAATGCTGTTGGGGATGTGATATCAGGAATCAGTGTGGGAATCATGCACCTGCCTCAAGGTTTAAGACTTTCACACACAATCTTGTGATATTTGAGCTGCTATATATGCTATAAATGTATGTATGGCTTACAAGATACTTATTTGCCAAGTATAAAGATTTTAATCATGGTCTATTTTTAGGGTTCTCTGAGAGTGTAGACACTTGAAGTGCCTGTGATGTGAGGGGTCGATTATGAATTTCATCGCCCTGTTTTTCATAATAGACACCTACAGATCTGCATTATCGTCTGGCAGCCAATAATTTTCCTCACAATGCACCGTGGTTCAAATCAGACAGATAAAGTGGATGTAATGACTAATTCTATTGTACAGAACTGCACACACTCCTCTACACACAAATTGTTCATTTTCAGCCTTTTTCTATTCCCATAGGGATGGCCAATGCATTGCTGGCTGCAGTTCCTCCAGTGTTTGGTCTGTATTCATCTTTCTACCCTGTTCTCATCTACTTTATATTTGGAACATCCAAACACATCTCTGTGGGTAAGTACACATACGTGAAAATCTTTGCAGGTATACGTACACAATCCCAATTTGCAAGATAAATGATTTTAAAGTAGTAGTTCAACCAAAAAATTTAATGTTGCAACAAGCTCATTTGTTGATATTTTTTTCAATAATGGATTTGTAAATATAATAACACAAAATAAAAAAATATATAAAATGACACAATAAAAAACAAAACATATTAAAATAAAATATAAATATAAAATTAAGTATAAAACAACTAATAACAATAAAATATACTATATATTTATATAAACTACATAAAGTAGTTTGAACTTCAATTCAATTCACATTTATTTGTATAGCGCTTTTTACAATACACATCGTTTCAAAGCAGCTTTACAGAAAATGCATGATTCCACATTACAATTTAGAGTGATCTGTTATCTGAGGTAACTGTCAAAGTTATGTATTTCAGAAATGTACATATACAAAATCACAGTTAGCTAAAAATGTTTTAATTTAAACAGTGTAAAAATTTAAGGCAGAAACAATGAGCTCATTGAAGTAATGAATACTACAATGACATTTACAGTTTAATATAAAATAACATAATAGAAAAACTAAACTAAAACATATTAAACATTATTTAATATATAAATATTTGTAGTCCATCAAGTGGCTTCTTATTTGATTGGCCATTCAGGTCTATCTGATGATCTGTCTGATCCACAGGTACTTTTTCTATCCTTTCCATCATGGTCGGTACAGTAACAGGTGATGTGGTGTTGCCAGGCAGCGGAGGAGAGAGTGATGAGATTGAGGCTGAAAGCATGAGAGTTGCCTTTGCAGCTCAGTTGACCATTCTGTGTGGATTAATGCAGGTAAAACACACACATGCTGTATTAAATGTAGGATAGGCAATTGCGAAGAGGCTAGCAATAGCAAGCTAGCTTTGAAAACATAAGTTCCCACCCTCCCTTCAGAGCGTCTCCAAAGCCACGCCTCTTTCAAAACACATGAACACACACAGCAGAGTCTGCAAAGCGTCACGAGAGACGGCGTTAAAATACCTCATGTCTCAAAGCACACAACTTTACAATAATAATGAACTTAATTTACAGAGCTCTTACTTGTACCATCTGACTGCTGCAGATTCATTATGGCGTTGATAGTGTTGTTGACATAGAAACGCTTAAATCCGAGTCTGAGGACTTGAACAGCTCCTGGTAGAACGTCACGGGTTGGCATCTCATAATTAAAGCATTTATTGATTGCTGTCAGGATGATTGCTGTGAAGAGTTTTAACCAGTAAAACAAAAAGTGTTTATTAAACAAATTACATACCCTGCCTTTAATTCTTTATGTGAGTGTGTGTGTCTTTGTATAAATCTCTCTCCCTATAGATTGTGCTATATGTGCTGCGTTGTGGAGGAGTGTGTCGGTGGTTGTCTCAGCCGTTGGTCAGTGGATACACTATGGCAGCTGCCATCCATGTGACTGTTCACCAGCTGCCTTTACTGATGGGCATCTCCATAGTCAGACACAGAGGAGTCCTTTCTGTGTTCTGGGTGAGAATGAGCTCTGTGTGTTTTACCTCTGTGATCTCTGTATATCTCAAATGCTGAATGTACATATGTGTGTTCGACAGATGTTTTCAAACATTGTGTCTGAAATCAGGAGTGTATTACCAGCGACACTGGTCATTTCCTTTGTCTCCCTGGTTATACTTGTTGGTGGAAAGGTGCTGAATTCATGCTGGAGCACTCGATTTCCAATTCCATGGGAGCTGGTACTGGTGGGCACACGCACACACACACTTGAAACAGGGTTTTTATAGTTTTTAATTTATTTAGTTTCTATTTAATGTTGTATTTGTCAATATCATTTTGTTTTCAATTTGTGCTCTAGTTTAGTTATTGCTAGTTTTCACTTTCATCATTATGTTTCTTCCATTGTAAGTTTCAATTTATTTATATAACATATCATATCATATTATTTTATTTTTTATTTGTTTTATTATTTTTACTCTTAAATTTCCCAGTACAGTCTAGTGTTATTTCTGCCTAATGTCATTTTTATGTTTAATACTGGAAGGTTTTAAGTTTTATAATATTCCATGGATCATGAACTAAAATTAACTTGTGGCCATTATTTTTCCCAGTTGTGTTAGTTTTTATTTTTATGTGAATAAAAATGTGGTTACACTTTAAAGGTCCCATTACTTTGTTACTATACTATATCCTATTACTATATATTACGTTATGCATTAACTAACATTAACTAACAAAGAACAATACATTTGTTATAGCTTCGGCAACTTAGTTAAATACACCTGTTAGTTCATGTTAGCTCAGTTCCAGTAAATAATATAAACAGATAAAACTTTAATACAACTTTTTGATTTGAATAATGTATTTGTAAATGTTAAAATAACATTAATCAATATTTTTAATTGTTTATATTTCATTCATGTAGTTAACTAATGTTAACAAATGGAACCGTATTGGAGTAGTACCGCAAATGTTTTAAGTTGAATGAATTAAACAGCATGGTTTCCATTTTTAAAATATTTCTGTGCAACAGTAATTCTTTCTTCCTAGATTATCTCTGCCACTCTGTCATCATTGCAGTTTGATTTGTCCGGTCAGTATGGAATACAAATCGTTGGACCAATACCAACCGGGTCAGCAGAGTGTTGGATTTTCTTTACAGAAATTAGCTGGACGTATTTCGGTGTTGAAACTTATACTCTCTTTCATTTGTCCCCTTTTCTATCCCTAAGTCTCTCACCTCCCTCCCTTCCATCATTCTCCTTCTCTCAGGAGCTGTTATTGACAGCTCTTGCACTAGCAGTGGTGGGTTATGGTTTCCAAGCTTCATTGGGCATGATGTTTGCTCATAAACATGGGTACCTCTTTCACAGCAACCAGGTAACAAGCAAATGTTGTAACTTTAACAATTTGTTCCCTGGAACCTCACAATAAGGCTAGTATAGATGCCCTCTTTACAGCTTCTCCTCTGTCTGATCACAAATGGTCTCTCCCTCCTGTAGGAGCTGTTGGCTATGGGTCTGTGTAACTCTATTGGAGGGGTGTTCCAGTGCTTTCCAGTAAGCGGATCCATATCTCGCAGCACAGTGCAGGAGAGTACAGGCGGACAAACTCAGGTGCGAACACCTGCCGTCTCATGTTACAGTCAAATGTACATGCACAAATGTACACTCCCTGCGAATCACATGACATGGGAAGATTATATTGAGTATTTTCTCAGACTTTTAGTGTTATTCAGGCACTGGCCACATGAAGTAGTACAGACATTTAATTGCATACATTTTTTTGTATTCATTATTTACAAATTTAAACTGAATTGTGCTGTAAGAAATGCAGTATGTGACTCTGTTATTAAGGCATTGAACTTTTACATCTCTCTTTCTTATCAGCAAAAGCTCACTGATAAAATCCAAACCACATACTTAAAAGAAAATGCCCCTAAAATAAGTTTAGGTGTGGCGCACTGCAACAAGGTTTTTCTCCATGATGAACATCCTCTCTCTTTTTCTCAGGTGTCTTCTCTAGTGTCTGCACTGATTATTCTTTTGATCTTGCTGAAGTTCGGCCCCCTTTTTCAGCAGCTTCCAAAGGTCCCAATATCACATTCAATTGTGAAGTATAGGCTATATTAAACGGATATAGTGTAATAAGGTGATTTTATAAAGTGTATTTGTGTGTGTTTCAGACAGTTTTGGCTGTAATTATTTTAGTTAATCTGCAAGGGGTTTTTGCACAAGTTAAAGATGTACCTAAACTGTGGAATACCGACCGCTTGGGCCTGGTAAGGGCACCCAATCCATTCATCCTAACATAACTGATCCAAGTACAACATGCACCTGGATCAAAATCATGTTCCATGTAGGCCTCTCATCCAGGGTGTTTCCTGTGTGTGTTTCCCACTGAGACTGCAGGTAGTGTGGGTAGTGACACTGCTCAGTGCCCTGGTGTTTAACCTGGACCTGGGGCTTGGCATTGCAATTGTGTTTTCTCTCCTTACCATCGTCTTCAGGACACAGAAGTAAGTAATCTGCATTGTCTGATATTTATCTACAGTGTCTCTCTCTATTTTTCTTTTTCTCAACTTTCTCGTACTAACTTATTCTTCCTCTTTACAAATTTTTCAGTGCCAGGTCTGCCGTTCTTGGGCATATTCCTGATACAGACTGTTACAGGGATCTGGAGAAATATGCAAAGGTAGTCTCTTATGCTCACCAAAGCTGCATTTACATGATCATAAACAGTAAGACTGAAGTAATGACTACTGAAAATAAAGCTTTGCCATCACAGGAATAAATAATAAAATATAGTAAAATAGAAAACAGTTATTTAAAGTTTCAATAATATGTCACAATATCACTGTTTTTTTTTACTGTATATTTTACTAAATAAATGCACCCTTGGTAAGCATAAGAAACTTTTTGTAACCAATAATAAATGTTAATGATTCCAGAATTCCCTGAATTTTGTGGTTTCAGGCACTCCAGGTCCCCGGAGTTACTGTGTTTTCCTGCTGTAATCCACTTTACTACGCCAATGCAGACCAGACCTTCACATCACTAAAACAGGTACAACCTAGGGGTGGGCAATATGGCAAAAATATCATATTACAATTTTTTTCAGGAAAATCACGATTCACAATTTTATCACGATGCCGGTGCTACGGACATTGGCACGGACACGGACAAACTGACACCGGCACATACACGGACACCGGCACTGGCACCGACACGGGCAAACCGACACGGACATTGGCACCGGGACATACACGGACACACCGGCACCGATACGGACACCGGCACAGGCACCTACACGAACACGGACAGCAAAACAGACACCGATACGACAAAAAACGTGAATTTGACTTGGTTACATGACTCACCAACAGCGGTTACACAAACAAAACTAGACAAGATACAATGGAAACATGAGGGCTATTTATACACCAAGACTAATGACTAACAAGAAACACCTGTGTGTGAACAACCAAGACAGTCAACCAATAAGACAAACAGGAAACATGACTATGAGAATTTCAAAATAATAGACATGAAACATGAACATGAAACAAAAACCAAAACTAATTGTGACAATATTATTACAAATTAAAATAACATCTATTTTAATATATTTATATAATGTAAAAATTTAATTTATGCACGGACACCGGCACACACGGCTTTAAAGCACATGTGTAACTCGACCTCTGCGTTAACATGTGATGTGAATGTACGTTGCATTGTATAGTATGTTGAGATGAAGGTGCCAGAACTGCAACTGATAGAACACTGTAGTATGATACTACGATATTTCTTCAAAAGCAGACCGTGGAGATATTTTAATCGTCCACAATCAAAAATCGTGATATCGCACACCCGTAGTTCAACCTCAATTACATCTCCCTGCTTTCCATTCATTCAAATATGTCTATATTTTATTATTATTTATGTATGTGCAGGCAGTTAGTAAAGGCATGCAGTGGTCTCAAACTCGCGGCCCGCGGGCCATTTGCGGCCCGCGGGGTGATATTTTGTGGCCCCCTACTTGACATTAAAGTTTAATGTTAGTGCGGCCCGTCGTTGCGTGTGCCGCGTTTTAAAAAAAAAAAAAAAAAATTTAAACCCTTTTGGGCTACCATAGATAGTCTCATGACAGCTTACGGTGGGTTTGTTGTCAATAGTTGTCATAGACAACCGCGAAGTACAAACTTACTGCGCCTGGAAAAAATGAGCGTGTCGCTTATGAGCGCGCTTCCCGCGCGCCTACATTTGAAATAACGAACTTGAGCAAGCAAAATATGTGAGCGCGATATGTGAACATGCCACGAGCTACTGGTAGCTCGCGAGTGACGTGTTGGAGACCCCTGCTCTAAAACAATGTGAGAATAATCATTTTGAGCTTGTAATATGTGTCCAGCAGGTTGATAAGAAGGTTTGCTTTGATTTGTGCAAAGTCAGTAATTTGCCTGAGACACTATACATGTGTAGAAATAATTAAATAAGGCTGAATTCACATTTAGCACCCAAAAACGCGTAGAAAACGCTAGGCGCGCCGCGTTCTCCTTTTTCCAAAGCGCTAGGGCGGTTGCGCTCCGTAGGCGTCTGTCGTTGCTAAGCTACGGTGCGCTTGCGGCATTCTGAAAAGTTGAGATGTTTTTATCTCGATGCGCGGCGCGCACGCGCTTGGAAAAAACGAGCGCGTCGCACCACGACCGCGTCGCTTCCATTATGAGCGCGCATTCCGCGCACCTACATTTGAAATAACGAACTTGAGCGCGCAAAAGACGCGATATGTGAACAAGGCCCTAAGACGGGCAGACATGACTGCAAATATTTGTATTTCAAAAGCAATAATCGTTTTTCTAAGTATAATAAAAGGAAATGTGCCTTCCAAAAAACATCCAATATCATTAATGTGTTGTATAAAGAAAATAAAAAGGACATAAGCAAATATAAGTATCACAAATATGTACTTATAAGGAAAAGAAAAAGAATGTTTGTAAAATGAAGTATCACAAAGATTTTGTGTATAAGGAAAATGAACTTCAACTGTCAGAAGGACAGCTCATGAAGATTGAATCAGTTGTGCTCCTTTTTTGGAATACTTGAATACTATTTTTTGTGGAATACTTGATGTGGCCCAGCCTGACCCAGACTCTACCTCCAGCGGCCCCCAGTTAAGTTGAGTTTGAGACCCCTAAGGAGAATCCTGAAGTAAGTCCTCCAGACCAGCAGGGGGCTCAGAGTGTGCAGCACCACTGCGTTATTCTGGAGCTCAGTGGAGTCACCTTCATGGACTCAGTGGCCATGGGCACATTCAAATCAGTTAGTGGCACAGAACACACACACGCACACACACACACACACACACACACACACACACACACACACACGTAGAAGTGTTGATATTTTACCAGAGATGAACAGAAATAGATTACCTGTTACTGACTCTCATGAACTCCTAACTAATGAATGGCAGTTTAAATTCTGCATGTCATTGTGTCTCTGTGTTTGATTGCGAATGTGTGTGTCTTACCGCTCTCTCTGGGTCATCAGGTGCTTCAGGACTTTGAGAACACACACCTCGTTTTTCTGTGCTGCATGTCCAGGTAGCACGTCTGACACACACAGCCACTCTCTCACATAATCAAACATGACGTTTTTATATTAGCATAATATACTGTGACTTTAAAGGAATAGTTCATCCAAGAACTGAACTATTTAACATGTTTAATGCACAGTATATATATATATATATATATATATATATATATATATATATATATATATATATATATATATACATACTGTATTTCTTGTTTGTTTCTAGATGGTTTACTATCTCAGATAAAGAACCATGGTTTGGTTCCAGATAATCTGTCTCTTTCCTCATTTTTCCCCTCAGTACATCATGCAATCCTACACTACCAGGGGCTACAGGTGTGTGTGTGTGTGTGTGTGTGTGTGTGTGTGTGTGTGTGTGTGTGTGTGTGTGTGTGTGTGTGTGTGTGTGTTTAAATGCTGTTATATCTGCGTCTTCTGGTTATTTTGCTATTTTTTCCTCTTTGTGTTTGTATAGGGCTTTTGTAGTTTGCTGTAATTCAATAGCATTTTCTGTTCTAATTAAATTACGCATCTATATTTTACAGAACACAGGCACAGATGTTACAGAGCTGTGACCTTTAATGACCTCCCTTCATGAACAGCGGATACATGAACCTGCAATCCTGAAAGAACCCTTCAACACTGGGGTTTAGATGAGACACTTCTAGACAAAACAAGAAAGGAGAAGAACTTCCTATTTTGATTTAATAGTTTGGAGCAACTGTTTGCATTCATCTGGATTTAAGGTGATATGTGGCAACAGCTGTTTGTTTATCGGCTATTGAACGTGAAATTATCTCTGACACCATAAACAGATTTTATGTGGTTTATTTGTTTTTGTCGTTTTTCTACTTAGATGGCTGTTTGAAATAGTTAAAAAATGCTGAAATATATCATTTATAATTGTCCTCAAAACTTTATGTACTGCATGTATGTGCATCTGTAATCTCCCAGATTCTTAACATGTTTTTTTTTATGTTAGAGACCAATTTGGTTTGTAGACAGTAAAATAAATCAAATATGCTCAGAAGAACATGTAGAAACATGAATAGTATGGAAAATAAAGATCTATAATTATTACCACTCCAGTCAATACAACAGGGTGTCTGACAACATCCAAACTCCACCAGCTTATTACAATTCAGTTAATATACGTAGAGTTCACACAAGTGTGTTGCGGTAATGTTCTTCTTCTACCCTCAGTGAATTGAACCATAAATGTCATTAGAAGAGACTTTGTTCTCAGGCCAGGTGCTGGGGAGAGGCCACATTAATATTTAATGCAGCTCATCTCGCTCACACGTTTACTGGGGACATATAAGCTTATATTATATAAAGCTAATCATAATCACTACAGACTAACCCTAACGCTACCACCAACAGAAAATCTTTAGTATTTTTAGGATTTCTGGTTAAATAAAATAATATTGTATTACAATTGAGGACGTCCCAAAATTTCCGCAAAGGAATGTTTGGTCAGTATTAGTTCACTTTTGTCTCCAAACTATTGGTAATGTACATACACACATCAAGTTGAAAGTATAAATACCTATTACATGATTACATATTTACAATTTCATATACAAGTCTGTATATTCTCAAATAAAGACAAGAAATGTCTCTACTTCACCAGATCAAAACACTTCAGAGATCTTGAGGCAGGACGGGCAAAGATGTGTTTCAAAGATCTACCGTTAACAATTTCAAATTCAAATACAAACCAATTGTTTTGGCAGAATGAACATGGCGTTTTCTATCTAATCAGACAGAGATAGAGATAAGGTGGCGTATGTCTCTGTGAAAGTGTCCAACATTGACTCCAAAGAACCCCCCCCCCCCCCCCCCCTCTGTGTTTTTGGGACTTTGCACCCCATATGAACACATTAGAATTCTGTCAGTAAGTGTGTGAATGGATCAGACTGGTATCGGAAAGGGCAGGATACACATTAACACAACCTGTGATAGAAGAGAAGAGCCAGGGAAGTTAATCTATCCATTGCTGTCCAAAACTTCACTGCACAACCAGACCTGAAGACCTATCACTGGAGAACATTAAGGATTACATTTTCATTGTGAGGACATGCTTTTGGGATCTATACACTGGAGGTGATCTGAACAGTGAGTGTGAGAAGAGAAATTTAGTAAAGGTTCACATTCACGCCTGGAATAGAGAATTGAGTATTCAGTAGAGTTTTCCAAAATGGAAAAAGAGATGAAAGACACGGAGCTCAGGAAGAGGGTACCATATCACATTCACAGAGATGTACTGGATGAGCTCAGTGTCGACCAAGTTGCTGAGAAGTCAGATGTCAAAATTTCAGCAAAAGAAAAACTCAAAGATGCTGTCAGGTGCGTATGTCTGTCTTAGTGCTGAGCTTAAATTACACTGCACATTTAATAATCTACTTGTGAAAATGCTTCTTTTTTTGCATTCTTTCCATTACAGTTTGTATTTACAACATTAAGAATGATCATGTTGTTCAGTATGATTTGAGAATGATTGAAAGAGCTTATTGTGCTTTAATGGAAGCAACAACATCTTGGAGAAGTCTCAAACTTTTAAACCCCACTTTTAAGTTGCTCTTCTTCATTTTTATAACTTTCTCTATCATTTTCTTTGTTTTTCAGGTGTACAGGCCCACGGTTTAAGAGCTGTTTCCTATCCTTTGTTCCTCTCCTGGCATGGCTGCCTCGATACCCATTTCGAGAAAATGCTATTGGAGATCTGATATCAGGAATTAGTGTGGGAATCATGCACCTGCCACAAGGTCCAACACAAGCACATGCAAAGCACACCTGTTACTTGAGAAACTGTAGACCTAAACAAAAACACAAACAATCATATGTCACGTGTTATGTATTTTGTGTGTGTAGGTATGGCATATGCGTTGCTGGCTGCTGTCCCTCCTGTTTTTGGTCTCTATTCCTCCTTTTACCCCATTCTCATTTATTTCGTATTTGGAACATCCAAACACATCTCTGTGGGTAAGAACACACACTTTCTTTGATTTAATTTGTTCTTGAAGGGATAGTTCACCCAAAAATGAAAATTCTGTCATAATTTCTCACCCTCAAGTCAGTCTAATCCTGCATGACTGACTTTCTTCAGTGGAACACAAAAGAAGATATTTTGAAGAATGTTGGTAACTGTTTTGGTTCCCATTGACTTCCATTGTATGCACAAAAATACAAGGGAATTCAATGGAACTGAAACTATTTGGTTACCAATATTCGTCAAGCTATCTTCTTTTGTGTTCCACAGACAAAAGAAAATCATACATGTTTGGAACGACATGAGGGCGAGCAAATGATGACAGAATTCAAATTTTTGGGTGAACTATTCATAAATCATATATAGCACTTATGTTACAAGCATGATGTCGTTAGGATGCGGGACACTTAAAGGGATAGTTCACATAAAAATGAAAATTCTGTAATCATTTACTTACCCTCAAGTTGTTTCAAACCAGTATGAATTTCTTTCTTCTGCTGAACACAAAAGACGATATTTTGAAGAATATCGGTAACCAAACATTTGATGGGCCCCTTTAACTTCCATAGTTTGGGGAAAAAAATGCTATTGAAGTCAAAGGGGCCCATCAACAGTTTTGTTACCGACATTTTTTCAAAATATCTTCTTGTGTGTTCAGCTGAAGAAAGAAATTCATACTGGTTTGAAACAGCTTGAGGGTGAGTAAATGATGGCAGAATTTTCATTTTTGAGTGAACCATCCCTGAAAGAACTTGTTGATATTACTGATTTCAAACCTGTGCTTTAGGTGCCATATGTGATTTGAGAGCTGCCAGTGAACATTATTGGCAAATAGTGACATACATTTCATTCTGTTTTCACATAAAGCTATTGCACGACTAGAAATATAGCTCAATAGATATTGTTGTATGGACTACAATTATGTTTATAATTGCACCAGAACTATTATAGTTATGGTGCTTCTATAGTGCTTTTTTTTTTAGCGATTGACAGCCTTTTGTCACAGTTCACCTTGTTGATTCAGGATGAGTGAGAAAATAATGATAGATTTTAAAATTTTCAGTGAACTATCCCTTTAAATCCATCTAGACATTTGATCCCCACAAACATAGCAAATATTATCCACACTTTCTAATATTTCTCTGTCTACAGGTACGTATGCAGTTATGAGCGTTATGATTGGCAGCGTGACAGAGCGTTTGGCTCCAGACTCAGACTTCATGATGCCAGGCAATGACACCAACATCACCATCTTAGACACCGTCGGCCGTGATGCGGAGAGGGTCAAAATCGCTGCCACTGTGACTTTCTTATCTGGCATTTTCCAGGTAGGTTCTCTTGGAATTGGAATTTGATTGTAGCTTTGAAGGTGTGTATGTGATTAAGTATTTGTGAGCTGTCTGTGTTTGTAGTTGCTCCTCGGTGTGGTTCGGTTCGGTTTTGTGGTGACGTATCTGTCAGAGCCATTGGTGAGAGCTTACACAACAGCAGCCGCCATCCATGTTATCGTCTCCCAGCTGAAATATTCCTTCGGCATCAACCCACGTCGGTACAGCGGACCTTTGTCTCTTATATATGTGAGTATTAACACATGCTTACAACAATATGTATAACAATAAATGCCATGTGATTAATTCTGGAGCATCAATTCTGATTGACTGATGTCATGGCACAGTCCCAAACACTTCATTGAGGACTATGCTGAACTGGGACATGAAAGGCCGTAGACAAGGACAAATAATCACACTTATGTGTAATTTGTGTTTAGTGCCCCCTAGTGGTGGGGGTCATGACTTATGCTCTGAAAGCTATGGATGATTTAATACTTCTTTCACTATTTTTCTTTCTCTCTCCAGACAGTCATAGAGATTTGTGCATTGCTTGGAAAGACTAACATTGGTACTCTGGTAGTTAGCATTGTAACCATTCTTGGCCTGATCGGTGCAAAGCAACTTAGTGCCTTGGCAGCACGCAAAATTCCTGTTCCTATTCCTGTTGAGCTGATCACTGTGAGTTACTTCATACAGTTAAACACACACATGTACACACACATTTACTTTACTTTTACAGCGAACTGAGGACAGAGACTTACACTTTTTTGATAAAAGATAATTGCTAACGCCTTACAATAATATATAATGCATTAATTAACAATGATCTATACATTTATTACAGTATAGTCTTTGTGAACATTAGTTGATAAAATACAACTGTTCATTGTTAGTTCATGTTTGATCTATTAAATAATATTAGCAGATGAAACTGGTCCATTATACTTAATGTATTAGTAAATATTGAAATTAGCATTATTAATAAATGCTTTAGAAGTACTTTTATCGTAAGTTCATATTAATGTAGTTAACAAATGGAACCTTAATGTAAAGTGTTAGCAGATAATTATAGTACCTGTTAAAAGTTGTTACATTTTTTTGATGTTTTTAAAAAAGTCTCTTATGCTCACTAAGGGTGCAGTTATTTAATCACAACTGCAATAAAAACAGTAACATTGTGAAATATTATTACACGGTAAAATAATTGTATTCTATTTTAATCAATTTAAAAATGTAGTTTATTCCTGTGATGCAAAGCTGAATTTTCAGCATCATTACTCCAGTCTTCAGTGTCACATGATCCTTCAGAAATCATTCTAATATCCTGATTTGCTGCTTTACATTTTAAAATATATGCAAATACAAAAAAAGTTATTTTATTTGTAATAAAATTTCACAGTTTTACTATTTTTACTGTATTTTTGTATTTTATATATATTTTTATTTTTGATTAAATAAATGCAGCCTTGGTGAGAGACTTCTTTCAAAAACATAAAAAATTTTATGTTTCCGAACTTTTGACAGGTACTGTATATATATAATTGACTAACCCTGACTTATTCTAACCTAAACCTATACCAAAAAGAAAATGTATATATATATATATATATATATATTTATATAGCCTTTCATTAAAAAATTGTATTCTATCAAAAATAGAAGCACATCAGTTTTTGCTGGCTCTTCCAGTTTAGAGGTAATGTACCATATTTCTTTGAGGGTATCTTAAAGCTTTAATCTTGTTTGTGTATATAGATTATTATCGCTACTGTGGTGTCATGGCAGATGGATTTGAAGACAGAATACAATGTTGAAGTGGTTGGACAAATTCCATCAGGGTAAGTCGAACACACTACTATGCAACACGACTGTACAACACTCTAAGTATCTGTATAGCATTGTTATGGTTACAGCTACAAAATCATGTTCAGCACCATAGTACATCTTTATGTTCATATACTCATCTGTACCTCTTCTTCACACTGTAGTCTGCAGGCTCCTGTGGTGCCCGCTGTTTCACTGATGGGTTCAATGGTCGGTGATGCTTTTGCACTGGCTGTTGTTGGTTATGGGATTGCTATCTCACTGGGTAGAATTTTTGCCCTTAAATATGCTTACAAAGTCGACAGTAACCAGGTAATAGACTCTAAATGGCTATAAAATATATATTTTTTAGTATATATATATATATTTTTTTTATTATATTTTTAAAAAAAAAAACATTTTATTGTTAAAAAAAAATTATTAATGCTGTACATTTGAACTTTATATTCATCAAATAATCCTGAACCCCCTGCCCCCCAAAAAAAATTAGGCAGCACAATAATACAACATTTCTTATAATAAAAAATATGTTTCAAATTAGAATGAATCCCGACGGATCGTGTGCCACTGAAGACTGGCGTAATGGCTAATATCTTTTTTTTTTCACTTTTCATGTCAAATTTAGTGTCAACATAAGCAAACAGCATAGTAAAACTGCCAGCCTGGAAAATATGGTTTTAAGTGATATATTTAAGATCTTTGGATGTCATCTCAGTACAAACATAAATAAACAAATGGGGAATTTAGCAAAGAGAGAGGTCAGTAACTGATTGATTCTCAAAATGCACAATTTTTACTCTGTTAGAGAAAAGCTGTACCTTGAAAAACTGGAAAAGGGGTCACATACAAAAATGGGAGTTACTCTTTATTTTAAGGTGTTATTGTTACAGTGAAATCATACAGTTAAGTACTGAGCAATGTTAATTAACAACATGTACTTACTTAGGTTAAGATTAGGTTTAGGGTTAGTTGCATGCAATTATGCATAATTACTGTTATTATTATAATAGTAATGTGTAACAAGGACTGTAAAAAAAAAAAGTTTTACCAAACTGGCATTACACAATATTTTCCTGGAACTTTAGTTCTTACATTCAAATCCAGTTGCCAGTTAAACCCAATTTGTATTTTGTTTTTTTCGCTAAGCCGAAAGTCATTGATTCAACCCACAATTGTTTTGCACACAATTCCAAAAGTTTCGTTTGAACATCTTTACTACTTGTAATGTGTTCTCCCCTTGGATCAGGAGCTCATAGCATTGGGTCTGTCTAACTCCATCGGAGGCTTGTTCAAGTGCTTTGCTATCAGCTGCTCTATGTCTCGCACTATGGTGCAGGTCAGCACAGGGGGGAAGTCACAGGTGAGAACATTAACAAAATGCAAACTGACATTTCCTTTTACACCTATCTCTTCCTAACTTGTTTTTGAATAGATGGATGGACCCTTGTGAAAAAGAAGTGCACTTAATTGAATGTGTTGATAACACAAAAGAACAAGTAAAGTATACCTGATTATAATTTTAAATGTAGTGTCGTTTATTAAAGTAAATATTTTTAAATCCACTCAATTTCAGCTTCATCATTACAAATATGTAATTACAAATATTTTAAATTTCATGACACAAGTTTAAGTGTGTCAAAAAACAACTTACTATCAATTATTTTAATTTAATTGCATATAACATGCAATTAAGTGTCCGAAAACATTCAATAGTATATTCTTTTAGTATGTTATCTGTGTAATTGGTATACTTTTTAAAGCTAGACTATAAAAAAATATGTTCATGATTTGTTGAAAATAAATCTTAGATAATTGATGTGGTTCAGCTAACATAATATTTTTATTTTCCATTTATTAAACCAATCTCCATTGTATTAACTCAAAATTTAAATTTCAATGAACTCAAAATTTTAAGGCATCCAGGTAACTTATTTTTTTAAGTTAAACCAACAATTATTGTTTACAGTGTATGCTAAAGTGTACTTCTTTTTCACAAGGGGATGGTTCATTCATTCGATTTTTGAATTACATTTTCTAGAGTAAAAGTTCAAATTGAATCCTCTCTCTGTCAAACTTTCAGGTGGCTGGAGCAATTTCTGCTCTGGTAATTCTGGTGATCTTGTTAAAGATTGGAGAACTCTTTGAAGAGCTGCCAAAGGTTAGTACCCTAATTCAGCTCTTGTGTGGGCCTGTCATGAATATTCATAGTATAAGATATCTGGGATGAAGTCATGAACAATGACTGGATGTGTCCAATTACATAGCAATATATCAAGACAAATTGTTCATGTGTGTACTGGTTTCTTTAGGCAGTGCTGGCTGCTATAATCTACGTAAACCTGCAAGGCATGATGAAGCAGTTTGCAGACATCTGCTCTCTCTGGAGGACCAATAAAGTGGATATGGTGAGAGAGAACAAGAAGGAGAAAGCAAAGCTTATGCAACACATTCAAAATAGATCTATATTTAAACAAAATAGGACTGAGAGCAAAAGGGAGTGAATAGAGTGACAGAAAGAATGGAGTAAAAAAGAAAGATCTGAATTGACAGTTATTGTGTCTATTGTTTGTTTGTTTAGGTGGTGTGGGTGATGACTTTGATCTTGACAGTGTTGTTCAATCCTGATTTGGGACTGGCTGCATCTATCGCCTTCTCCATCCTCACTGTCGTCTTCAGAACTCAGCTGTGAGTGACAGAAACCACATAGACAAAGCCTAAATAATTCACAAATGCACCATATTCCCATAATCCTAAACCCTAAATGACTAAATCACAGTACATATGCGCACCATTTGCATAATTAAATGAGAATGGTTATCTCCTGGTAGTCTCCTGTTTCACTTTACACTGTTGAAGATCCCAAGAGAAGCTTTTTCGAACGTCATATTTTGTTTCCTTTTGAGTCCCCTTAGCTTGGCCATATGAAATTAAAGTCCTGTTCTTGACAGCAGTTGCTTTTAAACTCTCCATCTGTCCCTCTTTGTTTTGTTTGCTTTCTTTTCCTTCAATACCTGTTTCTTCTCCTTACAACAGACCGAAATACTCTCTCCTTGGCCAGGTTCCTGGCACTGACATCTACAGACCAGTAGAGGACTACAATCAGGTGAACATGACACCACCAACCACAACATCATTACAATACATGCAACTTTGTTCACTTCAACTGATTCTTTAGTTTTGATGTTGTTATATTTGGAACAGCAGAGGTGTTGCACAATTATCAAATGATTAAGCTGGATTAAGGGCATAGTTCATCCTAAAATTTCTGTTCTCATGAAACTGCCTGGCACTCATGGTTAAAAAAAACCTGAATTGCAGCACACTTCCTGAAACACCTGCTCTTCCATTCATACATTTCTGATTAATCAATGACATGTAACTTCGCAAGAGCATGACGTACAGTATCTGTAATTGTTTGACTTGTTGTAGTTGCATTGTTTTAGTTTCTTAACAGTTCTCAGGAAGCGTTTGAATGTGTGGGTGTTGTAGTTTCATTTATCAATTGTGTAACATGTAGGTGAGAGGCCTAGTGTATGTATAATAAATAGTATTTATAGAGTATCTAAAATGGGTTACATGTGTATGTTGCAGGTGATCAGGAGTATAAAGTGGTCAGTTTGTTGTAGTGCTAAAAGTTAAAACTTTATTTTGAAATTCCAATTCCATGTCAAATGTAATTGGCCACAAGTTACACAGTCTTTGACCTTTAGCAAAACATTTTTTTTTTAATTAAGACCATTGTTTGAAGACAGAGGAAATTGACTCAAAAGATAAACATTCAGCCAAAAAACAACTATTTCATAGCAACATCTGCTTCTGTTAAATTATTGGTAATTTTTTGCAGGATTTTATGTTCTGGTGTCTCCTAGAGCTTTAGTCAGAACACATTACATTTCATTTGTTTCAGTTGTATTTGCATACGTAAATAACTTGGATAATTTGAGAAAATTATGATATTGCTTGACAAAGTCTGTGCATCCAAATCATTTCGATTTTTTGATTTTTTTTAATTATTGATTTCATTATTTATTTCACTGTCTGTTTTACACCCTTACAGGTGAAGGAGATTCCTGGTATAATGATTTTCCGTTCATCTGCAACATTGTACTTTGCCAACGCTGAAATGTACATCGATGCACTGTATGAGAAGGTAGACAAATGCAAACCATACTAACTCTGATACATATTTATTCACACACATTTACATAAAGAGCATTTACAAGACTGTAAAAAATTATATGATCAATAATTTATGACAACCTATGGTTTTACATTGCTTTAACTTATCAAAGTAAGTTTCAACTTTTTTTGTTATACAAGATTCAACTCATCTTTGTAAAGTCAGTTTAATGCAATTTAAATTGAAATGACTAAAACATCCAAGTTGATTGAACTTAAAAATTTAAGGCAGCAATTTTTTATTTATTTTTATTTTTTTACAGTGGGTAATCATCCCAAACATACAATCCAACATAAACATGCACTGTGGGATTATACCAAACAAGCTACTGTACATATAACAAATGCACAGGTCAGGATTTTCATGCAGTAAAAATAAATGTGCGTTTTTCTCCAGACTGGGGTAGACGTGGCTAAACTTCTCTCACACAAGAAAAAATTGGAAGCAAAGAGACTCCGAAAAGAAAAGAAAGCCGCAAAGAAGGCGAAGAAAGAGGCCAAGAAAAGAGCTAAAGAAGCTGCCGTTCAAGCTACTAAGGTCTGCATTTGAAGAGACTGTGTGTTAGCATGTGGGTGTGTGAGATAATATGTGTGTTTGAGTATTCTGACTGAGCCAGTCGTCTGCTTTTAACCAGGGGGAGGATCTCCAGTTGTCGGACACAGATGAAAGCGGGGAGGAGCCAGAGTTGTCACACACAGGGGCAAATGGGGATGTTCATGAGATGTCATTCAAAGAGCCAAAGGATGTAGTAACTGTGGAGGCGGGGCCTGACTCCGACACTGACACCACGCTCCCACAGGCCATCATTCTTGACCTGAGCCCAGTCAACTTCCTGGATACAGTTGGCGTGAAAACTATACGCAATGTGAGACACAATCTGTACTCATTAACGACTTTATGAATGTGTAACGTGTTTTAACCCTGTTGAAACTCTTTGTTTAATGGCAGATCTATAAAGATTATGGAGAGGCTGGTGTACGGGTGTACTTATGTGGCTGCCAGAGTGAGTGATTTCAAAGGGTTATTTTTGCAATGATTTTATAGAAGAACCATTTTGGGTTCCCCAAATAATCTTTTAGTGCAACCATTTTTTCTTTTTGTGAAAATATTATAATGATCGAAACAACCTTTTTCCACTTTAAAGAACCTTTTGTTCAATGGAAAGGTTTCATGGATGTTAAAGGTTCTTCATGGAACTATGCCAATAAAGGACCTTTATTTTTAAGAGTGTACTCCTCCATGTCATGTGTTCCCTTTGTTGTCTTCATGACGTCTGAAATCACACCTGAACACTGAGCATGCATGTCAAGATAGACCTGTTTGTCATCACTGATTGTAATCTCTCTCCCTCTTTCAGGAGGCGTTGTAGAGAGTATGGAGAAGGGTGATTTCTTCAATGAGAAACTAACTAAATCGATTCTCTTCTCATCAGTACATGATGCCGTTCTTTATTGCCAGCAAGAAAACAGCGAGGAGGTACAGTACATCCTTATCTTACACACACATACACAAATGTCAGAGGTTTCCTAATCATAATCAGACATGTGCTGAGTGTTGGTGGCCCAGACAGTATTTCGAAATAAACATGCATGAATAAACATAATTTCTTGCCTTTCTTCTTTTACAGGTTTTGCAGGGAACACATTTGTAAATCCAAACACCAAACGTCATACGGAACACTCCAGAACGCAATTGTTATTTACACAAATAGTATTTGTTATTGGATTGTTATTTATTGTGTATTTCACCTTGGGGAAGAAAAAAGTAAAGGAGATGTTTTGATGATAATTTGTTTTTAATTTTCAATTTGCACTGTAGAGTTCCAGGTACATTTATGACACTGAAATATCACACATGAATGTAAACTAAGTTTCTCACAAAATAATTAGACTATACTGGAAAGCTTTACTAAACATTATACAATATTTGAGCAATTATACTACAGTTGAAATGCTTGGGGTCAGTAAAGACATTTCAACATTTCAATTTTAAATAAATGCGGTTCTTTTGAACTTTCTATATTGATCAAAGAATGTAGCAGCTTCCACAAAAAAAATATGTTCCTTGAGCACCGAATCAGCATATTAGAATGATTTCTGAAGGAGACTGGAGAAATGATGCTGAAAATTCAGCTTGGCCATCACAGGAATAAACAGTTATTTTTAAGTGTAATAATATTTCACAATATTACTGCGTTTTTGATCAAATACATGCAACTTTGGTGAACATAAGAAAAATTCTTTCAAATACATAAAAAAAATGTACAGACCCCAAACTTTTGATCGGTAGCCTATTGTAATTACCATATAAAATTCAGTTTATGTATGTTAGTGTGTATAAGCTATGTATGCTATGTGTTAACTTTTTGTATGCATGTGTATTTAGAATCAGTATAACTTAAATAAACAGTCATTTTCTTATTCTTCTGGTGAAATTGTTAGTCAATTATATCTGCTATGTTATACTATCAGTTATTTTGGTTCTGCTTCTGACTAAAGAATTCAACGAAAGTTTCTAAACAAACAATCAAGTTTGGAGTCCTTTATGTTCAGTATGAATTGCTAATAACAATCTCAGTGATATTTAAACATAAATGATGTAGTTCTATCAGATATCTTTACTTTACTTTTTTAATATCACGTTTTAGTGTGAGAATTAAATAGAATTAATTTTGTTTATACAACATTTATAACATCTATAACATTTTTCGTTTGATGGGCGCTGTTTTCATGTATGAAGTCACATTCAGAGGGTTCAAAAATGGTGTGTTTATGTAAATGTATAGGTCTTCCCTTAACAAGTTTAAGAGAAACTGGTCTGAACATTCTAGCATAAGCCCAAAAAGTGACAGGTCATGTGGAACCTGCCCAACCAGCAGCAGCGCATTGTTTCAAGAAGATGACACCTTTATTGTGGCCAAAGCACAAGCAGTGTGAAATGGACTTGGACAAAAAGGTGAAGAAAGAATAGGCCTATGTGTTATATTGATCATCTTGTAAAAAACCTGCAGTACAAACAATAAGTGAACAGTCTCATATTTTAATCTTAGCTCTTAGATTTATTGAAAGACAGTTGACACCCAGATGAAAAAGTATAATCTCGTTTAGCTGTAACGAAAGAAAAAGAAGAGAGAGAGAGAGAGAGAGAGAGAGAGAGAGAGAGAGAGAGAGAGAGAGAGAGAGAGAGAGAGAGAGAGAGAGAGAGAGAGAGAGAGAGAGAGAGAGAGAGAGAGAGAGAGAGAGAGTTTCTGTGTGTGTGTGTGTGTGTGTGTGTTGGCGGGTTCTCACACAGCTCCCCTTTCCTTCTTTCTCCTCCCATCAGGCGGCCGCTCAGCATCTGTGGTGTGCGGATCAGAGTTAGAGTTGAGCCCAGTGCGAGAAACAACAGCAGACTGAGCGCCGCTGTCAACCATCGGCTCCGATAACCGGACCACTAACTGGAAAAGTTGACTTGATTTCTGTCTCCAGCATTCCGTCTATAGCAGGTTCAGGTAAGTGCCTGGTTGGATTTGTTGTTTGATATCTAGTAAATGTTTACATTAAATACATGGGGGAGTCACCTTTGCCAAGTAGCCTAGGCTAAACTAGACTTGATCAGAGCCGCGCACCGAGTCACGCGAATTCATAATTCCTTACAACTGTGTGTTCAGGGATTGAAAACAGATTTGTTTTATATCATCCAATTGTTATCCAAGCTTAAATGTATGATCAATTATATTTTTTATGTATACAGTAGGCCTAGGCTATAACCAAAAACAGAAAGAAATAGCTACACTTAAAAAGTGTACTGTTGACGATAATCAGGATTATCATTATATAACATTTTACGGATAGCCTATTTACACTCAGTCTGTGGAACATTTGTAAAAAAAGAAAGAAAAAAAAGTCAATTTAGATGGCAAATGGATGTTGTGCAAATAGGCATTCATAATTAATATTAATTATTATCATTAGAAGCCTAGCCTATGACAGAAAATCGGTTTGGTGACATTTTTACAGATATTTACACTTAGTCAGCTGAGAAACTCTACATTTTGAACTTAGTAAGCTATTGAGACATAAAAATAGATGAGCTGTGAAAATAAATGTGAATAAAAAGGCCATTAAGATGGCAAACATGTAAATATAACGACATAAATAAATAGCTATTATTAATAATAGAATATTCACAACGTTATGTTTTTATTGTGTCACTGCACAGTTTTAGTCATTATTGTGTCAAATTAATAGGCTAATAGGTTATGCATGTTATAGCCTATGTAAACACTTAACAATTTTCTCTATCATCTCGTTAGCAAAAACAGCAGCTTAATTGGTCGAGAACTATTTATGATAACGCACGAAAGCACGGGTGTCCTGTCATTTAGTGTTTCTCCGAGCTGAGAGATGGACATATATTTGTCTATGGTGGTCTATATAAATCAATCAGTGCTGGCCTCGATTCTCCATCGACCCAAATACATAGATTGGCTCGAATTAATTGGCATGTCGATCATTGGCAGCTTCTCATTCTGTCCCTCTTGACACGCTGTCAGTCACAACCATTCCGCCGCAGTGCGCGTGCTATTTTTGCTTCTGTGTACACTAGCCTACAGGAAACCGCTCAACGCGACGACAATAGACTTTCTTTGAACCGTCGGTCCATTTCAAAGCGCGCGCGCGTGCATGTACGAATATTGCAAAGGGGTCAGGACAGTCCGTGTTATCTCTCCGGTCCTGACGTCAGCGAATGTAATTGGAAACACTCTGCCGGTCGCTGTACGGTGCGGGGCACCAGATGAATGAAATTCCCGGAATGCATATGTTAGCCACCTGCCTGTTAGTCGCCGCTGTTTCATACTGGTACAGCAGTGAGCTTCTGACAGCGCTCCGTCTGTTTGTTTCAGACTCAGCCCTCAGCGGGGACATGCCGGAACCCGAAGGGACTCGTCGGTCACCACAAGGTGTCCCTTACACCGAACTGCCGCACATCGTCAACGCCGACGAGCTGCACTTGTTCTGCCGTTACTGGGAGCCCGACAGTCCGCCGAAGTAAGTGCGAGACATGACAACACAAACACAGAGATTAGGTCAGGCCTCCTGGGACAAAGCGAATGATCCATCCCTCCGTTACGGTCTCCGGTAGAGCAGGACGCGAGGCTGATAAGCGTTCCCGGAGGTTTCCCAACGGAGCTTATTTTTAACTTGCAATTCCTTCACGCATCTAAACAGTTAATTTAAAAACACGCTACAAATAGGCTATAACAGCGCAGGTTCATATTGCAGTAAACGTTAACAGTTGGTTGATCTGCGGTTTTCCGCAGAACTTCTCTTTTACCACAAGATAATGAACTGTTGGCCCACTTACTCACGTGATGTCTAAGTTGGTGAGCGAGGAAATAGACGAGGGAAGTATCTTGTAAATCCTCTCTCTCAATATATATGCTAGCTATGCTAAATAAAAATATCTCACACATGAACTCACCAAATAATTCAGTAGCCTATGCGTTTTTATTAAAATTTAAAATGATTTATGACAAAAAAAAAATGCTGTTACAAATGTATCTTTATGTTGTCATATGAACATGTCGGTAGGCTAATGTTTCTGATTTAAAGGGTTAGTTCATCCAAAAATGAAAATTCTGTCAGTAATTACTCACCCTCGGTTGTTCCAACCCCGTAAGACTTTAGTTCATCTTTGGAACACAAATTAAGATATTTTTGATGAAATCAGAGAGCTGTCTCACTCCTCCATAGGCTTCTATGTTATTGAAACTTTTATTTTATGTTTTTTTCTTTGCGCACAAAAAGTGAAGTTTGCATCCATCCAGTGGACACTTTACTATCCCCTGAGGCCACAGGAGAGGAATTGTGACTGACACTGTAGGTCACATGACAACATGAAGAATGTAGTATGTCCAGATTACATTCTGGACTTTTCAAATATTCACTAATTAAGTACTTATGACCTACTCGGAGAGTATGCGATTTCAGAAGCAGCCTGAGTCTTTTTTTTTAAATGAATCAGTACAAGAATCGGCTCATACAAGTAATATACACGGATTGGGCTACATTGGTTGCTTTCTATCCCACTGAAAAATGAACAGCACTTTGGAGAAATTACATTGTAAATGATGTGAACTGACATTAAATGAAGACTCTAATGAAGAATATCCAGTCGGTTCCTCATGGGCTCTGCCCTGCTGACATGACTTGTCATGCAATTGACAGACTTGTTAATAATAATATGTTTACTTAATTGAGAATTTATATCATATACAGGCAGTGCCTGCTTTCACTCACACTGGTTTTCAAGTGATGTAAAGTCAGTTTCTCATAAACACTGTCTTGTTAAAAAGACTATACTGTCCTGAATAACTCATCTGGTTAAAGTGAACGAGAGGGGGGCCCACTCAGTATCTATGCGGTGAATGCTGAAGAAAATGTCTTGGTTTCTTTCCATGCAGAATTTGAGTCGAAAGCCCCTGCTCATGGCCTCTTTATGACCACTTATAGACACACACACACACACACACACACAGTACAGATCTGCTCCAGTACACTTTTCTACTAGTGTCATCATCAGCTGTGGTTCTTTTGAGTAATTGTAAAATAGGTCATCATTTTGAGAATGTGGTTTTGTCAGATGCTTCCATATCTTACTGCACCCATTCAAACAGGCAGTTTTATGTTTGTGTGTGTGTCATGCTTATGTCAAAAAGGTTAAACTCTGTTACAAAGCTGTTGTTTTGCCATCAGCTATTCACCCTGAAGTGGTCTTAGTGTAGCCCAGGGGAGCATGCCGTTACTATAGTTACTACCTCTTTCCCTCTCTCAGACTAATTTGATCTCTAATGCGTGTGAGTGTATATGACGAGAGAGAGAGAGAGAGAGTGTGTGTGTGTGTGTGTGTGTGTGTGTGTGTGTGTGTGTGTGTGTGTATCTGTACATGTTCATGTGCATAAATAATAAGAGTGAACCGTTAAACCACAAACCATGTGATCCTCAGTTAAATGTTATAAAACCCCAAATATTTTGTTTTGGAATGCGGAAGATGTAGCATTTCCCATGTGACTGAATGTGATCGATTCAGAGCAAATAACGTCTACAGCCATCAGACATATTTATATCAAACATCTGAAGGAACGCTATCAGGATCCCCTTTAGTGCTGCACTATTTCATTCTGTTTATGGTGAAATATTCAGCCTGTTTGATCGCTTGAAGGTTATGTGTGTATGTTTACTAGCTGTTTAGTGTTTAGCTACAGCATGGAAAACTCTGGATGCTTTGCATCATTCAGCAATAAACTGATCCCATATATCCAATAACAGCATCCAAATGAGGTCAAATAATGAAAATTTGAATCCCACCCGACAAGATAATGTTTAGACTCTGCTCTTGGACAGTTTATATAGTCTATATCAGCTCTTTTCAAACTTTTTGATGCCAGTAACCCTGTGAGTAAAAAAAAATTATTACATTTACATTTATGCATTTATCAGACTCTTTTATGCAAAGCGACTTACAAAAGAACAAAATCAATTTGTCTAAATATTTCCAAAAATATTCATAATATACAATGCCAGGTTTATTTGAAAGTATATTAGGAAGCAAGCTAGAGAAGAGAAAAAAATGCAGAGAAGAAATTGAAGGGTGTGTGTGTTATTAATATAAATGTGTGATATTAATACAACAAAATTATACAATTGTTACAAAACATTTAATTAAAAGCCAATATTAAAGGGTTAGTTCACCCCAAAATGAAAATTATCCCATAATTTACTCACCCTCAAGCCATCCTAGATGTATAGGACTTTCTTCTTTCAGCCAAACACAATTGGAGTTATATTAAAAAAATATCCTAGCTCCATAAAGGGAGCTTCCAAGCTTTATAAGGGGAGTGAATAGTAAGATTTGAAACCCCAAAAAAGTGCATCCATCCATCATAAAAGTAATCCATACGGCTCCATGGGGTTAATAAAGGCTTTCTGAAGCGAAAAAATATCCATATTTATAATTTTATAAACTCGAATCAGAGGCTGTGTCCAAAATCGTATACTCTCTTGAGTAGGTACTTATTTTGAATTATTAATTTCTTCATGACTGCTAAAAAAGTATGTTCTGTATAGTATGAATGTGTGTAGTATGAATGTAATCTGGACGTACTATATTTGCCATATTGTCATTATCATGTGACCAACCAGCGTCAGTTGCGTCGCTCGATGGTCGCTTCACTGCTATTCACAAATCCTCTACTGTGGCCTCATGGGATATTAAAGTGTCCATCATATGCATACTTCAGAATCTTGCTAGAAGAAGTAGGTCATCCGGGTACTTTTTGCCTACTCTTTTATGAGTAGTACTGTGAATTTGGACATACTTCTTTCGTCACATACTGTTATTCGCCTAATATACTGTATATTAGGGAAGTATGCGATTTTGGATGTTATTATGGATATCTATGGTGGCCACTGGCGTCCGTACGCAAGTCGATTTCCAGCCGAATAATGAATTCTGACCCGACACATGACGTATTGACGAACGCTGAAGCGCAGAGGATAGAGCAAAACAAAACACTGCTCACGAATTAGAAGTCTAAAACGAGAATTTTTAAAGAGAAATGTCGAGAAATGCTTGATTTTGTTGCCCAGCTCTATTTGTTTGAACCGCTTATCTACTCTTACCTAAGCTTACGTTACTCCTACATCCTACGTCATACACCGGAACTCGGCTCTGTCGTGAACGGACGTTACCAGTGATTACCGTTTATAAAGTTATAATTATGGATAATTTTTTTTCTAAAAACTCATCGCTTTGCTTAAGAATTCCTTCATTAACCCCTGGAGCCATATGGATTACCTTTATGATGGATGGATGCTCTTTTTTTGGGCTTCAAAATAAATTAGGCTTTTATATTGTAATTCTATCTGGTAAATGTGAATAAATGAAAACATCATTATGTTAAACATATTTAATTGATATCTTAAATGAACATGCATTGACAGGCCTAAAAGTACATTTTATAAAATCTTTTTTTTTCCCTCTCAAATTTGTTGTGGACCTTCTAGCACTCGCTCGCACCCAGGTGACATCAATCCAACCTTTGAAAGTAAACATAAACGTAGTAAGGTTGTCTGTTGGAAGTTGAACTTCCACTTAAAAGAATTGTAATGACAGATATGAGCAGCTGAAGTAACAAACTGTTTACAACAAATTCAGCGGTTGGCTTAGCATTCAGAAGAATGCCTCTGCTGACAGTCCAGACATCATCTCACACTGTCTCTTTACAGTCGCTTACATGTTCATGTCCAGTGCTGATGCTGCCAGATACAATGAGAGAAACAGGAAGTGGGTGAAAGTTGAAAAGACCACAGTAGCTCATTGTATGACCCCTGTAATGATTGACAGATCGCTCAATAGATAATCTGGGCATTGAACCCATGCAAAGTGAAGTGAAACACACTCTTACACAGTCTGATAATTGGGTCATGCCAGTCAGCGTGTTTCATTCTCTAGTGTCTAATGGCATTTGGAGAAGAACTCCTTTACCAAACATGGATATTTATACAGCTGCCAGTGCAATGCCAAAAGACACACATGAATTCGGCCCTCGCAAGCGTAGCCAAAACTGTACAGGCACACAGAATTTCATTATCTGTTTATCTCTATTCTGCTTCTGATGTTTGTTGCTTTGTAGATCTGTTTTGGAATTCCAAAGACGTCCACACACACATAGCAAATACACACAGTAGTCTCTCTGTCTGCCTCGCAAACTCCATTCCCAGGGTTCAAGGACTAAAACTTTTTAATCTGAAGATGATCATGACTACAAACGCATACAAACGTTTCCATTTTATCTCACACCAGCAGCTCTTAGATTGAGTGGCTTTATTTTTAGTGAATACATTTCTGTGCATGATAGGGAAATTTAATTGAAGGATTAGCAGATTCTGCAAATAGAAGTAAACCTACGCACACTCTCAGTCCTCTGAGACCATGTGAGCCCATTATATTTACAAAGACTCTTTTTGTTACTGATAAGAGGCTGCTTTGAGGTCATTACAAAATCTGCAATAGTGTAGGCCTAATAAATCTAGATTCCCCATCTAGATTTATTTATTCCTTCATCTCTTTCTGTCTTATTTTGTCTAGGTTTTTGGGTGTGAGATACTAATGAGTGTATTTTGTTATTCTGGTGTGAGACTTAGGATGTGTCTGTATTTCACTTTGGGAACTGAGAAACAGTTCTGAATAATATCAGTAATGACTTTCGCTTCCATTAACGGTTCTTGCACGTACATTTTCCACCGATGCGGATGCAGACTACTTAACAATCGCGAGAAAACGTCCGGGTCCTCCATCAAAATCGGGTCTCCATTAGGACCCCAAGCGATCTCATTGGCTTAATGAACTTTTAATGGGTACTCTCTTTAGTGCCTGATTTGAATTGTTGTGATATGTCATTTGAACTACATTATAATGACCAATAATGCACTTACTTCAATATCAGTTCAATATTTCAATATTAATGTAATGGTTCAATTATTTGTTTATTATTATTATTATTATTATTATCATTAACAGTTTATCAAGTGAAAGAAATTGCATTTTTTTAATTATGCAATATATAGTAAGCAACTAAATATATATTATAAATAAATGTCGTTTGTGTGTACTTAGTAGCATACAATTAAAGGAGAACTCCGGCGGAAAATGAACCTTTGGTCTAATAAAACATTGGTACCTAGTCAACCGTTCTCTGAGATTTGTTTTCATGATAATCGAATGTAAAGAGTTTTATCTCTAAAAACTGTTTAGCGTATAACGCTAGTAATGGGGGCATTTAATAAGTAAAAAGAAATCGCTAGTTTATACCACTAACAAGGCTCAAAATAGCCTCACACGAACACAGTAACATAATGAGGGTCCCTACATGCAAAACGAAGCATTGAGAACTTTGTAAGTGTACAGACCGTTTAATAAGAAGACAAAGATAAAGACAGTCCACTTCGTGTATACAGACAGGAGCCATCTTTGGAAAACAGTCTCGACTAATCAAACCACGAACGCCATTCATACAGTTCAGAAGTTCACTGAACTTCATACAGTTCAGCTCACTTAGCACGTCGTTCGTGGTTTGATTAGTCGAGACTGTTTTCTGATGAGGATATCTCCTCATCTCGCAATGAAATTGCATTTCAAATGTTTATTTCTCTTAAGTACTAAAATAATTGTTACAGAAACTGTTAAGGAACTGGAATTGTTAGGAAGAATCTGAACTGAAACTGTTCCATTCTTTACGATTCCTAGCCCAATTCAATAATTTGTATTTTTCCTCCATCAGGGCGCTGGTGTTTGTTGCCCATGGAGCAGGAGAGCACTGTGGGGGATATGCTGACATTGCTCACAGTCTGACCCAGCATGGCATTCTGGTGTTCGCCCACGACCACGGTTAGTGGCAGACTCCTAATCAAACGGCTGAAATCCCCAACATACAGATTTGTTGGTTAGCAACGGCACAGCAGTGTTTTGGGTGGTGTAGGAGGGCGTGCTCTTTATGAGGCTGTGAGAGTGTGGGGTGAAAAAATTATTTACGCCCACATTTGATTCCTGGTAATTCATCCACCCTGTTTTCTTGACATTTACAACAGATGTTGTGGGAATGGAGTCATGGACATCCTGGGTTTAGAGTGGGGGATGGAGTTGAGAAATGACAGAAATGAAATTAAACAAGAGAATATAGAATATAGCAGGTGCTATGTGTACAGAATGTTAAAGAGGTTTTGTGGCAGTGCCATGGTAACTAATGATTCACACAGAGAGACAGCAAGCCGCCTTGTGATGAGCAGTTGGGGTTCTGTGAGTGTGTGATTTGACTGTCTGGTATCTCGGTGTGAGTAATTGGTTCTATTGAAATACAACAAACAGAAATCATTACAGTCAGTCTCTCTCTATCTGTTTCTTGATCTCTTTCTGTCTCTCTGCTCCTCTAACAAGCAGTTTCACCTCTCATTATATATATATATATATACACATCACGTGCTTTTCGAATTTCCATTCTATTAATTTAGTTGTTCCATTATTCATTTTATGTTAATTTGATTAAATGTCATGTCAAAAAATTTCCTGAGTTCTTCTTTGTGAGCTGTTGGCATAATTTTGTGAGTGACAGTCCTCTTTTATCTCCTGTTTAAAAGGAGAGCTGATATACAAAGACAGGGGGAAATGAGGGAAAAATAAGTTTGGAGTGTTATTCTCTTTCTCTTTCTGTCTCAGTTGGTCATGGGCAAAGTGAAGGTGAGAGAATGGATATCAAAAACTTCCAGATTTACATCAGAGACTCACTTCAGCACATTGACATCATGAAGGGCCGGTACCCCAAGCTGCCTGTCTTCATCATTGGACACTCAATGGTAACATACATTTTGAAACCATCCCCCTATATTTTTCCATAAGCAAACAGAAATCATATGTGTTCTGTCTCTTTCTAGCTCCTTTCTGCTTTTATAATGTTGTTTATTAGCATGACAAACAATCCTACATTTTCATTGTACAAGCTGTGGCTGAGCTTACTTAAAAGTACAAGACCAATGCAAAATAAATGAGATAAGTAATAAAACGTATCGGTTACCTAACGTAACCTCGGTTCTCTCTAGAAGTATGGGCGTGGCTTAGCGTATATAAGCAGGGCTCGGAGGCTGTTTCTCTGGTTTTCATCGACTGAAGCGAAAGTCGCTCGTGGCGCGAGCACGGCAGGTTACGCAATACTCGTTCCCTCTTCTAGAGAGAACCGAGGTTACGTTAGGTAACCGACACGTTCTCTTACGAGAGGTTCTCTCGTATTGCGTAAGTTAGCTTACGCTACGGGAACCCTTTGTCAACACCGTGCGCGCCAAACATCCACTCCATGAGTCCCCGAGTCGGGGAACAAGATAAGTGGAAAAATAGGGGCCAGCATAGCGGGCCGACAGATGTATAAGCACCCCATGGGAAATGCAGAGCAGCATAGCCGGTCTGACATAACGGCCCATTATAGTGCGGCTCAACCAGAAGAGCTTAGTCACGTGATAGTAGCCTGCGCGCAGAAATGCGGGCAGGTCATACATACTATTAGACTGACAAAAGTTTAGCCTGCAAGGCGGGAACTTCCAGGTTATAAAACCTCACAAATGTAGACGGAGAGGCCCAGCCTGCCGCCGTACAAATGTCATGAATAAAAATTCTGCTGGACCATGCCCTCGATGAGGCCATGCCTCTAGTGGAATGAGCTCTGATGCCCAAAGGGCACTGCAGATCTTTTGACGCGTAAGCAGCAGCAATAGCGTCCACTATCCATCTGGACAGGCTCTGTTTCGAGGCGGCGAGACCCTTGGTGCGCCCACCAAACGAAACAAAAAGCTGCTCCGAGCGCCTGAAAGGGGCGGGCGGAGCGCGCAATGTAAACCTTCAGCGCTCTGACAGGGCAGAGGAGGTTAGTAATATCTCTCGCTATCGGATGCTGGCAGAGCCGATAGCGAAATTACCTGCGCTCTGAAGGGAGTGCCAATCACCTTCGGGACATAGCCATGCCTAGGTTTGAGGATGACTTTAGAGTCATTTGGCCCAAACTCGAGATACGCAGCACTGACAGAGAACGCGTGTAAATCCCCCACACGTTTGACTGATGACAGTGCTGTCAAAAAAACGGTTTTGAGCGAGAGGTATTTCAGATCCACAGAATCTAATGGTTCAAAGGGATATGTTTTCAGGGCCTCTAAGACCAATGAAAGATTCCAGATAGGAACCGACGGGGGCCGCGGAGGGTTCATCCTTCTTGCTCCTCTAAGGAAACGGATGACCAGCTTGTTTCTTCCTATTGACTGGCCGCGCGTCGACTCTGTGAACGCTGCGATGGCCGCCACGTACACTTTGAGCGTGGAGGGGGACATGCCCTTGTCCAACAGCTCTTGAAGGAAGACAAGCACCTGCGAAACCCCACATGCCTTTGGGTTCTGTCGTCTGTCGGTACACCATTTGGAGAACACAGACCATTTAGACGCGTAGAGCTTTCTAGTAGAGGGAGCTCTGGATTGCGTAATCGTGTTCATCACTCCGTCTGGCAGGACAACGGGTATCCGTTGATCAATCATGAGTGCAGAGACCAGCGCTCTGGATGGGGATGCCAGATTGTGCCGCGAGCTTGAGAGAGGAGATCTGTTCTCACCGGAATAGGCCACGGGGCTGTAAGTGACAGCCGCGTCAGCTCCGGGAACCAAATTTGATTCTCCCAACGCGGGGCTATAAGGAGCAGAGAGTGGCGCGTTTCCCTGATTCTCTTGATTACCTGTGGCAACAGTGAAATCGGAGGGAAAGCATACAACGGGCGGCTGGGCCAGGTTTGGTTCAGTGCGTCCTCGTTCTTTGAAAAGAACATTGGGCAGTGAGCGTTGTCTTCTGACGCAAAGAGGTCGACCTTCGCTCTGCCGAAAAGGCGCCATAGTGTTTGGACTGTTTGGGGGTGCAGGGACCATTCCTCTGGGGGAACATTGTTCCTGGACAGTCTGTCTGGGCCGTCGTTCAGGTGGCCTGGCACATGCGCAGCTCTCAGCGAGCGCAGATGATGCTGAGACCAAACGAGGAGGCGTTCCGTCAGATCGCAGAGGTTTCTGGATCTGACCCCGCCCTGACGGTTCACGTAGGACACTACAGACATGTTGTCCGAGCGGACTAGAACATGGTGGACCTGTAAAAACGTGAGGAAACGCCTCAGCGCGTTCTCGACCGCCAACATTTCCAGACAGTTTATGTGGAGGAGCTTCTCCTGGTCTGACCAAAGGCCGGTCTGCCCTCGATTTTCCTGGTTGTAAGCATTTTGAACGGTCTTTTCACAAGCACTTTGTTCAAATGTCTCAGATCTAAAATAGGTCTGAGGGCTCCGTCCTTCTTGGGTACGAGAAAATAACGGCTGTAGAAGCCCGACTCGGTACCAGTTCTATGGCCCCTTTGCACAAGAGCTTCGCTATTTCTGCGCGGAGTAGATGTGCTACTTCGACATTCACTGTCGTCGTGGCGCGAGCTTGAAAGCGCGGGGGACGGCGATCGAACTGTAGCGAATAGCCCTGTCTTATTGTGCTCAGCACCCATTCTGATACCCCTGGGATAGCTTCCCATGCTTTTATATGTATAGCTAGGGGTTGAATGGCCTCCGGGTTCTGATCGCCACACTGGGTGGGACCGAGAAACTGAACCGGAGGTACGGGCGCGGCGCGCGCGCCCTCGGTGCTTGGATACGACGGTTTGCTGACAGCGGTGGCATGCTGTTTCATGTGTGACGTCCCGATTGCTGAGAATGGGGAGCGTTCTCTGATCACTTTGTGATGCGCGAGCGGCGCCCTGGGCGAAGCGTTTATTAGTAAGTGAGCGCTGGGGAGCGGGCACGAGACTTACATTCGTATGCAACGCCCCGATCGCCTTTGATGGGGAACGTTTTGTGATGACTCTGTGGCTAGGCTGAGCTGGATGCTGTGAAGCAGCTCGCGCAGGAGGCTGGTCACGTGAGCGGCCTGCAGCGGAACTAGAGTGTCGCGGCAGGAACAAGTTCATGGCCTGTGTGGTCTTCTGTACTTCGGAGAAGCAGTCGACGATCCCGTTCACCGCTGGGCCGAAGAGACCAGTGGGGGAGAGCGGTGCGTTGAGAAACGTGGCACGCTCAGATTCCCTCATGTCAGCAAGCGTCAGCCAGAGGTGCCTCTCTGTAACAGTTAGCGCGGCCATGCATTTTCCTATGGCCTGTGCTGCGGACTTGGTAGCGCGAAGGGAAAGGTCCGTCGTGCTTCTCAGGTCCGTGACGGCGGCTGGATGCCGTCCTCTCTCGTCCCACTCACGAAGAAGATCTGCTTGAAGGATCTGAAGCACAGGTATCGAGTGCAGGGCGGATGCGGCCTGTCCTGCTGCGGCGTAAGCGCGGCCGTCAAAAGCAGACGTGGTTCTGCAGGCCTTGGATGGGAGCGCCATCTCGCGGAGGGCGGACAAAGGTGCGCTGCAACCGCTTCCTCCACAGGGGGAATAGAGCAGTCCCAGGCAGAGAGCGTAGATCACGTGGCGGTCTCCGACGCTGAGCGGGGCTCTGCACGAGCCGCAGGAAGTGCGAGGTATCTTTAAAAATACGTCTTAAATTTTCGATTCTAAGGTCACGGTTCGATTCGATTCTCGATTTTTACATTTATTTTTTTAACATATCGGCCAATCAGGATGCTCTCTGTCTTACATGCGCTTCATGAGGCACATACGCAAGATCTCTCGCTCTCTCCCGTATATACGGTTTGGAGCACAGTTTTTTCTGTCTCGCATGCGCGATTGCGCGCTCTTGCTCGCTCACTCACTCTAGATTCCGGGAGATTAACTAATTTGCGGGCATCAGGGAGCCGCTATCAATATGCGGTAGACTCCAGGAACTTCCGCGAGACTTGGGATGTCTGCAAAGTAAACTGTGGCTTTTTTGAAGCGCGAACGTTGTCAACATAACTCTTATACTTACACACCTGCGACTTCAATGAAAGAGGAGGGGGTTCAAGTTCTGTCGATGGGTCTCCTGCATCTGCAGTTGCCATGCTATCTTTTGAATGGCTGTAGCTAAGTTAGAGGAGGTTGACCATAGACTCGCAGCTTTTCAACACGCGTGTTTTTTTCCCGCTTGGCACGCCGACCGGACGTGACATGGGGGCGTGGCAGCATCGACGATTCCATTTTTTAATTCGATCGATTCTAATTTTTTTTTATTTCGATCGATTTCGATTTAAGATCGAAATCGTGACACCCTTATTATATACGCTAAGCCACGCCCATACTGGCGGGCTATGACGGTGTGAAGGCGCGACCGCCCTTCATTGGACGTGACGTCACGTCGGGCTCAGTGGTAGGCTGCTGCAGTTCCCGCAGGGCAGCCTATGAGCACGCTAGACAGCCTGATCTAGGTCTGCTAGCTGCTGCACTGCGTTGACAATGAATACAAAAATTAAGGATAATTTTTTGGCTTCAATATCTCGAAAAGATGAATCTTTCCCATAGCGTAAGCTAACCTACGCAATACGAGAGAACCTCTCGTAAGAGAACTATAACATAAAGGATGCATAAATTATATAAATAATTATATCAATAATAATAAGAAATAACAATGAGGGGTTATACTTTAAGGCAAGAGAAAGAAAACCGCACTTGTATTTCGCTATCTAGCAGATTTTAGGCATTTTAATATTTTATTGTACATATTGATTTGCATTGTATTGTATTCATGCATTCATGCAGCTCGATTTTAGCAACCAAGTTTTCAGCTCATTTGTTTGCATTCTCACAAATGTGCAAAGGTCTCATATTCATATTTACATGTTTCCTACGTTTATATTAAAATTCTTTCCAAGAAGCAGACATCTCAAAAAGATGTAAATATTTTTTGTCTGGAAATTTCTATACAAACATTTAACACTATGTTTAATAACTATTCAAAGCCAACTACAACTGTTGATAAAGTCAAAGTAAACTATTTCAGACTGTCTGTGACTCATGGGGTGGAGGCCACAGGAAGAACCATTTGCTTTTGCTTTGTTCCATTTCCCATGTTCAGTGTGTGTTAAACCCAAACTATGGATGACTGAATATGAACAAGAATCCATCTGAAAGCTCTTTACTTTTGTTTTTATCCAACAATTCCTAATAAAACAGACCAGCTGCATACTCAAGAAACTTCATGAGCCATTTAGACTAGAAATGTGTCTGGATGTATCTATACGCTGTATTTTTTTTGAACATCACAAAGTTGTGTTGTAGTGATGGGCATTCTGGTAAAATAAGAAATCCTTCATCTACTGCTAATGCCCATAATGCACCTCTCTCCTGTTCCTTCAGAGCAGATTCTCAATCTAGATAATGAAATATGTTTTTGCTGCTCTCCATCTCCCTCACTTTCCTTGAACTTTATTTAATTCTTCCCCTCTTTCTCTATCTATTATCTTATGTAACAACAGGCTGTTTGGTCCTTATATAATCAATCACAGCCTTAAGTCTTTAATAAGAAAATGAAATTATTTTTTACACAATGCTTCCTATAAGGAAATTTACAATCTTGCTACATCCAGTCGTGGGATTGTGTGTCCTTGAACTTTTCGCTTTCTGTGACCTGAGGAACTGAAGCTACTGGCTGAATAAACATTTTGCTTTCCTATCACGTTTACAAAGGAAAACGATCAGTGTCATATAATAGTGTGTGTGTGTGTGTGTCCTGGTAAACCCTACTTTATAGGGAAAAAATGTCCCCACAAAGATGGCAATATCCAAAATCCTTGTCCTTGTGGGGACATTTTTTTGGTCCACATAATAAGGAATAAGGAACAGCTTATAATTTTTTCTGTGACGTTTAGGGTTAGGGTTAGTGTAAGGGGATAGAATATACAGTTTGTACAGAATAACTATGAAAAGTCCCCATAAAACATGAAAACACAACGTCTGTGTTTGTGTGTGTGTGTGTGTGTGTGTGTGTGTGTGTGTGTGTGTGTGTGTGTGTGTGTGTGTGTGTGTGTGTGTGTGTGTGTGTGTGTGTGTGTGTGTGTGTGTGTGTGTGTGTGTGTGTGTGTGTGTGTGTGTGTGTGTGTGTGTGTGTGTGTGTGTGTGTGTGTGTGTGTGTGTGTGTGTGTGTAAAGGAAAGGCGTGTACAGATCGGTGTGTTTTACTCCCAGTTACTCCCAGTGATACATCAATTCTAATGAAAAAACAATAACCTCATATAATCAAATCAAAGCAGACCACCTATTTTCTTGATGAAGCTTTAGTGTTAGTGTGGATGCAGTTTTGTGTGTCTAAACTAAGTGTGTGTTTGGGTTTGTATGTCTAGACTGAAAGTGTTTGTGTGTGTGTGCGTATACTTTAAACAGACCATTATTGGAGTCTCTTAGAAATGTGGTGGGAACTGCTCTTTAATCTCTCCACCTCTTTTGAATCCTGGCCTCTACTCATGAATATTCATAGATAGGTTCATAATAGAAGCAAGATGAAGAAAGCAGAGGAGCAGAGCATCAGAAAATTACAAATTAGGGGCTTCTCACTCAGATTTACTCATGTGTGGAAGTAAAATTGTCATATTTATCATTCAGTGTATTACAGACAGAATTTTAATGCAGGGGTTTTCAAACTTTTATATAGGCAGCTATATATTTTCATTTATATATAAGACACCTAAAATTAAGCATATTATGGCTTTTATATTATTTTGCCATAATATTTTATACCAACTTTGAGTGCTGTTAAATGTATAATATAATTTAATATATTTTTTCTATTTAGAAGTACTAAGCAATCTACAACTAAACTAGTGTAGTTTGCTGTTTTCAATAATATGACTGGGTCTGTTTGTTTTACTACAGGGAGGGGCCATTTCCATTCTGACCGCATGTGAGAGGCCGCAGGATTTTGCAGGTGTGGTTCTCATTGCTCCAATGGTTCAAATGAATGCTGAATCTGCTACACCCTTCAAGGTAAAAAGTCACTAAACACACTATAGTGACGGCAAATTCTTTTTTCAAATTCTTCCCAATTGTTTGCATTTAATATCTATCACAACTGAAACGTGAGGCTGTAAATTAGATCTGCTGCCCCCTGCAGTCAGACGGTTAAATGCAATCAAATAACAAAAGCTTTTAAATGTCAGCTGTCAAATAACTGCAGTAAAGCTCAGTGCTTTCATCTATTCAATCAATCTCTGCCTCTCTGTAATGGCATTTAATTCTGTTTTTTTAGTGCATGTATGAAATCAGTTCCCATCACATTTCAACTATGAACAAAACATGTTTTAATTGCATGTAACAGAATGTATAGCCTTTGTCTTAATTTTGAAGAGTAACTATTGTTTTATCATATAAAATACACAGTTTTGTGAAATATTTTCCTTTTTTTGGGGCAACGGTATATTTATTCAATACGATGTGAACATTGTCATTTTTACTAGCCGTTTCATTTGTAAATCTGAGAATGTTTCTATGAAGAATTTTAAATATGTAAATATTTAGTAAATTCGGTCATTCAGTGTCTGATGCAACAGACATGTTACTGCTGCTTTTAGATGTTCAGGTCTCTGAAGTAAATCATCTGTGTGTTCTTGGATTCTTTGCAGGTTTTCGTGGCAAAAATTCTAAGCCGTTTGACTCCAAAACTCTCTCTCGGCTCGATCGAGTCAAGATGGGTCTCACGGGATCCCAAACAGGTACAGGAATGTATGCGAAAGAACTTCTGTAGAAGTAGGGAAATGTGTATGTGTGTAAATTTCACACTGACAGTTAGTGTTTGAATAGGGTTAAGTAGACAATCTGGCAATGTTGTTATGTTATGTTAGCTTTTGAAACAGTATTTACACAGTAAACTTACTCTTTCAGAGTGAGGTACATACGGTACATAGTGATGAAAACACACATGAATGTAATTTTCTTCATAGCTTGGCCCTGGAATACTGTTAAATTGACAGAAACAGCTTGTGCCATTTATTCAGTCATAGTAGACAACATAAACATCTTACAGTACAATAATACATTTCATTTGAATTGTGAAAGAAATTTGATATGTTTATTGTATGGTTTATTGTTCCCTGTTTATTGAGTATGATCTTGAGCAATGAGTTACTGCTATTAAGATCATGTTTGAAATCCTACATCTTCTCATTAGGTGGAGGCATATGACACAGATGAGCTAAATTATCACGGAGGGCTGCGCGTCTCATTCGGAATGCAGCTGATGGATGCGGCTACTCGCATTGAGAGAGAATTACCCAACATCACGTGGCCCTTCTTTATTCTCCATGGCGACGCCGACAAGCTTTGTGACATCAGAGGCTCTCAACTGATGTATAACGAGGTCAAGAGCACTGATAAAAAACTGAAGGTGAATCAAACGTGCATAAACATTGGCCAAATAAATGCAAGAATGAACATTCTGTCATCATTTACTCACCCTCATGTCTATCCAAACCTCCATGACTTTCTTTCTTCTGTGGAAAACACACAAAAATAATGTCTCGGTGTTTTGTCACTGACTTTAAAAAGCAGTTCTTTTGTCATTATCCTTCAAAATATTAGTTTGTGTTCCACATTAGAAAGAAAGTCATACAGGTTTGGAATGACATGAGGGTGAGTAATTGATGCAGGAACTATCCCTTTGAACTAGAGGTTTGACTTGTGAAAACGGTCTGAGCTGTTGTTGTGGCAGTAGATGTTTCGGATATCACAGAATAACCTGATCCAGATGCACATTCTGTACTCTAATAAAAACCACGCACCTCCCCCTCCATGTTTCAAAATTCCTACATAAGCCTTGCCTAGTGCATTCTAACTCACAAAATCTGTGTGTGTTTCTATGATGAACAGGTATATGAAGAAGCCTACCATGCCCTGCATCATGACTTACCCGACACAGTTGAGTCTGTCTTAAAGGAGGTGAGCACCTGGATCCTGGAGAGACTCCCCACCCCTCATGGGTCTTAGCTGTCAATCACCGCATGCACACTTGCCTAAGCCCCGCCCTCTATCAAATCTTTCATCTCTACTGACTAAGGGATGTCTGATTGCACTACATGCCAACAAAACTACCCTCATTAAAATTACCTAGGTGATGTAAGAGGTCATTAGTAATAGTAAGTGACCTTTGACCTTAAGTTCCAATTACGCTTTAGTATGGCCAGTAAGGGTTCTGTGGGAGTTTATGTTCCGTCAAACTTCAAAGGTATCAGCACTACAGGGCATGGCGTGTGTTGCCACTGCAATTTGCTCTTTGTGATGTCCACTGCTCATTAGAGATGCAGTGCTGCCCCCGCTGGACACCAGCAGTACTGCATCCTGCTTTGAGCACAGTTACCAAGGCAACTCAACCATTGCCTATGGCTTGGCAGAAAAACAAACTGAACCTACAGAATGAGAATATGGTAATGCTTTGAGACATTGAGAGAGCAAAATGTCTGCTGGGCAATTTTAAAATTGCTCTCGAAGAGATCAATTATTAGATAATCTCTAACAGACACATCTATGCAGGAGATCCCACAGATTCCCACATATACACTATATATAGCCACAATAAGGAGAATTATAAAAGTTTTTTGGCTTTTATGAGTTTCTTTTGGTGGTTTGACTGTTTCAAACACCCCAGACTGTTCCATTCCTTTGAGTAAAGGGAGAACTGGCTGTTCTGCAGCTGCATTTATTGAATATGAAACCTATTTGCAGCTGATTCTTCCTTATGGGCTCTGGAATTGTAATATCTCATTCCTTTGTTTTTACAAGTGTTACGTTACTAAATTAATATGTTACCGTTGATATTATAGTATGTTCATAATAGCTTTTGACCTCATTTTACGCCTCAGGGTTCTCATGGGGTTTGTAGCTCTAAACAACATGAAATTGTAAAAGGTCAGTCGTTCACACCAGCTTAACATTTAACACGACTGTTTTGATTCCGACAAAGGGGAGTTTTGTTACAGAGATTTGCCTGTTATCTTCAAAGGCATTTTATCAATGAATGTGGATCAATGAAGGTTTTTTTTATCACTGAATGTGGCACATTTTTAATGGAAGCTACACGCAAAATCTTTCTCTAGCTGAATTTTATATATTGTCATTTAGCACTCTGACTAAGATCAGAAGGAAAATGACTGCTATCCGTGACATGAACAGAACTGAAATGCCCAGCACAAGATTGTAAATAGTGTGCATGGTTGTGTATGGGTTTTGTGTATAAGCTATATGGATGTCTGTTTCACACGTAAAGTATATTGTCTCTCAATCATTTGAAATGGATCTCATCACATGTACATGATATGTAACACATCTTATGAGAGTTTGTAGAAGAACTAAATCTTTATCACTGATAATCCTTTGTGACTTTGACTGTTTCCTAAGGTGGAAGTGCTAGGAGCACGGCTAATATTCTCAAGGACATTATCTTTACATTGGGCAATAACGCATTATTCATTTGGATTTGAAGAACTGTCCATTTGAGTTGCTTGCCTTTACTATGACATCTACAATTCTCTCCTACAGTTGCACTGTCCTAGTAAATGGCACATTTAATATAAAACATTTTTCTGAATGCTTGCATAAATGCTGTAATATATTAAACACAGAAATCAAATATATAATGTGATTTAAATAATAATGAATATGGCCAGTTTATAGTCTCTGAATTGTAAATTCTATAAAATAATAAATTTGAAATGCTAAATGATATATGGCTTATGTGTATTTATTATTTTTCCAAATGATCCCAGCACTGTGGACTCTACTTTGTTCAATTGTCTGAGAACGATTTATTTCTATTTGTTTGTTGATTGATTGATTTATTGATTGACTGATTGATTGATTGGAGTGATTGCATGCATGTGTGCATTTAAATGATCATAGATTTACAAAGATGTGCCATGACTTGGGTCATATGAGTTATGGTTAAGCCCCTCAGGCTAAGGCACCAAAAATCCCCAAGCTTGTTAAAAGCCCCTTTTATACAATACAACAGAGATTTGTGGCAGTGTCTTTCAGATTTGAGTGCCAGAGCTAATTATGCCTGGAAAAAATAAGCATAGTCTCCAGTGAAAATTCACTATAAAGATCTTTTTTAGTAACCACTCCGATTTGTTCTAGAAAACTGTCATTTGAAGTCATGCATATACTCCATGTTTCCCTTGGTGTACATCTGTCCTAGTTTCTCTAAGGTAGGGTGACCATATTTTGATTACCAAAACCCAGGACACTCGGCCCGGCAAACAGATACTCAAATGATACCCGAAGTTTACTCAAAGATGCCTTATTAATTGCAATACATTTAAAGTAGGCTATGCCTCCTCTGTATGGATAGAAAATTGTTATATTACAAGAAACAAATTCAGATAGGCTTCTCAGAGGTTACTCAACACGTTTTATTATGCCAGGTTTCAAAAATAATGAATGAAATAATGATAGAAATAATGTCTCTTCTGTATTAGAAAAATAAATATATAAATAATAAATAACTAAAAGAAATACCTCCAAATTTAACAAAAATAGCTCTCACGAACTTACAAAAACGAACTAACAAAATATATTTATATCTTTAGTTTTCTTCCTCTGGGTCTGTTGGTCACCCTACTCTAAGGCAACAGACGTGTGCTTTTACCGTCAGTCTTTAGACTGTCAGGAAAGCCCATGTGGAATTTGCGGCCTTTTCCCCTTTTTTTATTTTATTTATTTAAACATGGCCAAATGTGTTAAACGCAGCTGAAAGTACCTGAAAGCATGATGAATATTGAATAAACAAACATGGAGAAGAGATTTAGAAGTAGATTTTTGTGAATGACTAACATTCCTCTTTTCTGTGTGGACTATGTTCTGCCCTAACACAACAATACGTCTTTTCCCTTAATCTGCTGATGAGTTTAAAAGTTATGATAAAAGGAGGGTCAGTCACCATTTACTTTTATACTGTGTCGCATGTCCTTTTGTGTTCCACAGTGACTGAAGAAAAAAATCAGGTTATGATGCTGAGTAAATGACAGAATGATCAACCCCGTTAAGAACTATTGAGCTATTATGAGTTATTTTTTTGCCCGGCAGGGGGCGCATGAGTTCCTCGAGGAAAATAACTGGAGGATTTAAAGGTAGGTTCTGTGTGGCCATGGTAACGGCTTTACCTGCTACCTGAATGGAGGAGACCCAAGAATAGGAATAGATCAACTGCTCTATATTTACTGAAAGGGAACTCCTTCTCTCTTGGCATTTATGTGTTTCGTGAATTGTTCGTCTGAGATAAATTTTTTTTGCTATGGAGCCCTTCTAGGAATCGACATAGATAGATTGTAGCTTTGCTTTGTGTTTTCAAAGTAGCCTAAATCAAACAATAAGCTTTTACTTTCGGTAATAAAAATTAATATTTTACGTTTTATGGTTGCATATACAACGCATTTATAGAATTCATGACTCAAGACCGAAGATTCGTGTAAAATAAACTGTTCCTCCTTTATCGATACTTTTGTTCTTTTTCAATCACTTCTGTTACAGAGAGTGCTTCCGTATATTTCTCTACGCTCAGCTTTGCTTGAGTTCAGAATTTGGCCCTGAAACCCCCCCCAGCCTCTTCACCCACTTCCTAAATCTCGCGCAAACGCTTCAAAAGGGGTGGAGCTTCAGTCTCATGCTGCTCTGCGATTGGTCATTTTCGAAGTCCATCAGGGCTTGACGCTCGCTCTCGAACTCTGACCGCGCCCCCGAGGCTCAGCGGCTCGCGGTGGAACAGGAGAGAGTGTCCGCGCCTTCACAGGAGGCACCAACGGTCTGTTCTTACTGGAAAAAACGAGAATATTTAAGCTCCTTCATGGCGAAATTTGTTTTATTCGACGTCCAGAAGCATATCCATTCCGGACCGCGGCTCTGACAACGACAGGCGACGAGAATATCCGCAGCTCTCAGCAGTTGGAGTTTACCGAGGATTTTCATAGCAGTTTCGTGCTTGGAGGCGCGCGAGTGCCGGTGTCGTCGTCTCCGTGGGCGCCTTTTCCTGCTTTCTGGTGACAGCTGACACTTGTCCGATTTCCGAAGACTAGAAGGCCTGATCTGTCTCCCCCCTGTCCGGTTCACCGGGTGTCCCTGTCAGTGCCGGGCCGCCTGCACACTCACCCCGGCGCGGCCTCGCTCCTTACCGAGTCCCCGGCGACGACACAGCTACCTCCCCGGTAGAGCCAGTTACCCACACTCCTCTAAAACACCTGCCGTGTTTAGAACTACCAAAAACCGTGGACCCTAGGAGAAATTACGGACAAGAGAGACGCGGATCTGTGCGCTGGTGATATAGACAGACAGAGCTGTCATACAACATTTCAACAGATCTCTGAATTTACATATTGAGTTTTTTTTGCTTCTTCTCTCGTGCATATCCGTTATTAAGGTATTAGACAACAAAACGTCAATTATACAAACTAATCACGCGTTGTGCAAAGGCAAGGCCTCGTCTGCTAACTCAGATAGCTACATCGCTAACTCCCAGCCTGGGTTTAATCAGCTTCTAATCTTATCAACCGCACTTTTGACTCTTATTCATCGCTTATTTTGTTCCATACGACACAATAGCGAAGCGATTTTAATTTATAGTTACTGGTTCAACGCACAGGACGGTATTCCTAGCCAAGAGATCTATTGAGCTCAGCTAAAGCAGGAGGAAACAGAGCTGTCAGCCTTTATTTTCTACTACTCGGCCTGATTAACTCCAACCTTGGGAAACAAACCCCCCGAAGAATCGTATGTGTTGTGCTTGTTTCAGCTGACCTTTGCTACCAAAATTAACTAAGTCCCTCGCGAGCTTCTTGGCGCAGCAACCCGCTGCATGCACTGATACGGGAAAGACTTGATTTATATTTTTGTACCATAGTTCAGGAGCCATTTAGAAAAGGGTCAAATATCTGCACAAACCTTCTACTACTGTTTAGCCATGAGTATTGAGATTCCAGTCGGTCTGACGGAGCTGCTTCAAGGCTACACCGTGGAGGTGCTGCGCCAGAGGCCGCCGGACCTGGTGGAGTTTGCCGTGCAGTATTTCACCCGTCTGCGGGACACCAGAAACCAGGACGGGTCCGGGGTCGCCACCGCCAAAACCGGGGGGAAGGG